CCATAGCCTCTTTGTTGGCTCTGGGGCCATCTTGCCCAGGCCCTGCTTTGAGAAGATTCTGCCCGCCACTAACCCTCACATGAATTGGGTGGGATGATGTAATAATCATGTGACAAGTTACCTAATTAATCATCTAACCTTCCGCCACAGTGGACAGCCAGACGAATGTCATCATTTTTGTCAGGAGCCAAACTGCAGGAGAATGGAAACAGAGGTGCAGGTGACTGACGCATTTGGAACAGAATTTGACACCATCTTACATCTCACAGCCTCGAGTGACAAAATCATTTGATGGGCCCTGAGTAAGATGTTCCTTGGGGAAGTAGGTAGGGAGAGACCATGTGGGCTGTTTTGCCTCAGACATCAACAAGCCTTGTTATCTCCCTGATAGAACCACTGTAAGCAGCTTCGTTTGCATCCCTGGACATTTTAAAAAGCAGATGGTTCTGGGAGCTGGGAACTTAAATTTCCCACAGTGCCCCAGAGCCAGCCCCTGACGACACCTACTACAGCTCACCAAAGTTATTAACCACTTTTTTATTTACTGTTGGCCATCTGGAGACCAAAGTTAATCCCAGGTCTTGCAGCCCCCAACAGGAAGCCCGAAGTTTTCCCCTACCTAATCAATCAGTTTTATTGTGTGTGTACAGTCCACAGACCAATTACAGAAAGTCTGTGGAGTTAAGAGCAGCATGCTCATTTCAAATTATTGAGATTGTATAGAACAAGCTTTGGTAATAAGTGGCCCTCCCAAAGTTCTTGGGATATCCATCAGCTCCAGTCATGTATGGCCAGTCATTTGGGTGCCCAGTAACATGTAGGGCAAAGCACAGGTTTGCATCCCTTCCTGTTTCTTCTTTTGAGAATTCCATCTCACCCTTCTTCTGGCTACTTTTCTTGCATTTATATCCCCACCTTTCTTCTGTCATGGAACCACAAGTTCCTAGGGAGCCTCCAGGTATTCACCAAACTTCCTGAACTTCAACAAGTTGGTGGCCCCATGGGCCATCATCAGCAGTGATGGTCTCCAATTTGGATGGCTTTACAAGAGGATGAGACAAATTAATGGAAGAGGAGGTCATCAATGGCTGCTAGCCATGATGGCCATTCTCTGCCTCCACAGTCAAAGGCTTATGAATACCAGTTGTTGGAAACTGCAGGAGGAGGAGGAGTTTGAATTTGATATCCTGCTTTATCACTACCCGAAGGAGTCTCAAAGCAGGTAACATTCTCCTTTCCCTTCCTCCCCCACAACAAACACACTATGAGGTGAGTGGGGCTGAGAGACTTCAGAGAAGTGTGACTAGCCCAAGGTCCCCCAGCAGCTGCATGTGGAGGAGTGGGGAATCGAACCCGGTTCACTAGATTACAAGTCCACCACTCTTAACCACTACACCACACTGGTTCTCAGTGGGAGGGAAGAGTTGCTGTTGTACCCAGGTTCTGATTGTGGACTACCCATGAAGCCCTCTGGTTGGCCAGTGTGAGAACTAGATAAGACACTGGCTTGATCCAGCACAACAATCCTTCTTTCATTATTATTATTATATTCATATGCCATGTTTCCTCCAAGGAGCTCAATATGGTATACATGGTTCTCCCTTGGTTTTATCTTCACAACAACCCTGTGAAGTAGTATAGGCTGAAAGACTCTGACTGGCCCAAGGTCACCCAGTGAGCTTCATGGCCAAGTGAACCCTGCTCCCCCACTTGCTCTCTGTAGTTCTAATCACCTGGGATAGGTAAAGATCTGAAAGGGTGTGGCTGCCATTGAACTCTGGTCCTGCTTGTGGGCTTTTTCCCTTTGGGACATCTGTTTGACCACTGTGAGGACAGGATGCTAGAGTAGGTGGGCCCGCTTTGGCCTGATCCAGCAGCCAGCCTCTGCTTACGTTCTTGCAACAGTTCCAGCCCTGCTGGAAACTCCCCAACATGCCCTTAGGGGACAGGACACACAACTACATAAGAATCACTCCACTGTCTGCATCTTAAGACCTGCAGGCTGCTTCGAAGCACACACAGCTGCCAGATTTTTCCTTTTTATGGGTGGGTGGAACCAGGGGCCGGTTTCACCTGATCATGGGGGTGAGGCTTTGACAGACCAAGTGGGTTTTGATACATTTGGAGCCTAGTGAATAAAGATGCATTCCATCTAGCTCACCACTGTCTACACTGACGCAGGGACGCAGGAGGTACTGTGGTCTGAACCACTGAGCCTCTTGGGCTTGCTGATCAGAAGGACCATGTGATGGGGTGAGCTCCTGCTGCTCTGTCCCAGCTTTTGCCAACCTAGCAGTTCAAAAGCACACCAGTGCAAGTAGATAAATAGATACCGCTATGCCGGGAAGGTAAACGGCGTTTCCATGCGCTTTGGCTTCCGTCACAGTGTTCCGTTGTGCCAGAAGTTTAGTCATGCTGGCCACATGATCCTGAAAGCTGTCTGTGGACAAACGTTGATTCTCTTGGCCTGAAGTGAGATGAGCACCACACCCCATAGTCCCCTTTGACTTAACAGTCCAGGGGTCATTTACCTATTTACCTTTTTATACTGACTGGGAACAGCTCTCCAAGGTTTCAGACTTACTTACCCATAGGAACATGGGAAGCTACACTGAGTCAGACCATTGGTCCATCTAGCTCAGCATCGTCTACACAAGGGATGGTGACCCTGTGGTCTACAACTCCCATCAGCTTTGGCAGTATGGCCACTAGTTGGGGGATGTTTGGATCTATAGTCCAGCAACATCTGGAGGACCAGATTCCCTGTGCTTGGTCTACACTGGTGCAGACAGAGGTCTTTCTTAGCCCTGCCTGGAGATGCTGAGCAGTGGGAGAACTCCTGGCTTCTTGACCAGGCATGAAACACACCTGCTTAGATGTATGAGGTTTATCAAGATAGGATGTGGAAGAAATCTAGGGACCAAATCATTCTTCCTTGAGCAGGGGTGGCAAACCTATAGTCCTCCAGATCTTGTTAGACCCACAACTCCCATTATTCATGACAATTGACCATGGTGGCCAAGACTGGGTGTTACTCTAAGGACATCTGGTGGACACCAACCTAGCCAACCCTGCCCTAAAGGCAGACTGGCATTGGGCCTTTCCTTTTCAGCACACATATTCTCCATACATTTCCAAGGAAGAGATATGGAGACTTGTTGATTCTCTTGAGTGACACAGTGATCAAAAGATGGGCTGTTTATGGGAAGACCACCAGGGACACTAGGCAGAGGGGCTTCAGAAGCTGCATGCTGTAGTCCACATAGCCAGAGCAGAATCCTTTAAGCATCACTGCATTTTTACAGAAACCAACCCGATTCACACTTCCTGGATTAGAAATTGTAGAAATGGAAGGGACCGAAAGGGTCACCTAGTCCTACCAACTGCAATGCATGTGGATTAGAGCACAGCTATCCTTCGGATTCTGCACATGTTGGTATTTTTGGTTTTTTTTAAAAAAAGCATCTCTAAATGTATATTAAAATGCACACTTTGGGTTAAAATGTGTGAAACAGTGAGAATTTGCATGCATTCTTTTTATTTAAAAATTGAAGAATTGTGCACATGTGGGAGAGGACATGCATACGCATGAGTACACAACAAACTGACTCTAGTTCCAAGGCTGGCAGGTGATGATCTCTAGTGCTGGAGAGCAGGGAAGAGGAGGAGAAGGAGTTTGGATTTGATATCCCGCTTTATCACTACCCGAAGGAGTCTCAAAGCGGCTAACATTCTCCTTTCCCTTCCTCCCCCACAACAAACACTCTGTGAGGTGAGTGGGGCTGAGAGACTTCAGAGAAGTGTGACTGGCCCAAGGTCACCCAGCAGCTGCATGTGGAGGAGCGGAGACGCGAACCCAGTTCCCCAGATTATGAGTCTACTGCTCTTAACCACTACACCACACTGGAGGAAGATGTGGCCCTCCACCTCCCATCAGCCCCTGCTAGGATGGCCAGATGCCAGGGCCAGGATGATGGGAGCTGCTCCGGAAACATGCAGAAAGTCACAGGTTCCCCATTCCTGTTGTAGAGCATTAAATAGGACTGTGTAACACGAGCCCCTTTCCAGAAGTTCCAAATCCACGGACAATGTAAATGTTCTAATGCAGTGCTTCCCAAACTTCCCCCATTAGAACACTTGGAAAATTGCTGAAGGTTCTGGTGGACCCCTGCATGATTTCTCTGCCTGCTGCAGCAACTCTAATGCACTGCGCAAGCAGCTCTATAGTTTTCTATTGCTTCTTTTTATTTTGTATATGGTAGTACGATTTGCAGCCCGTGGAATTAAATTTGCAATAAAATTAACTTACAATGTGAGAAATAAGAGAAGCAATAAAAAGTATCAACAAAACAATGCAAGTATTTAATACAGCCATGCCAAGGACGCCCAGAGTGATGCTCGTGGACCAGGTTGAGAACCCCTCTTGTAATGAACGCAGGTGTGTTGGGGGTGAATCCTCCCTGCCCATAGATCCACCAGCCACTTTTCTGAATGTCTGAGAAGGGTTCAGGCAGGGACAGGGAACTCGCCCCCCTTGGGGGTGCTGTTGGGCTACAATTTCTATCATCCCTGAGCACCGACTGTACTGGATGATGCAATCTGGACTCCAGCAGCCATGTGGCTGGCCAGCAGTCCCCCAGCCATGGTTTGAGGCACCTCAACCATTACAAAAATAGGTAACTGAGTGGCTTCCCTTTGAGATTCGAAACCCAACATTAAGTCCAAGTGCTCTTAATTTTTTTAAAGCATAATCTGGAATGTATGCCAGAAATGGCAATTAAACCTTAGTGTCAATCTGTTACAATCTATGCCCAAATGAGCCCTGCCCCCAGAAGACAGCCCTGTCACCCAAGGGTTACCTTGCACCCCATTTAAATGAAAAGAGCACCCCACAGTGCTTGGAGGGGGGCGTAGAACAGCCTCTCATTCCCTATTCCCATGGGAACTTCCCATGCACAAACGAATATCTTATTTCAATGAATATATCAGCGACTGCTGGATAAAAGGCATTTTTTTTTTAATTTTATCAAATGGACCTGTACAAAAGTTAGCAGTACTTAGTCAAAAGCTAGTGAACAGAACAGATAACAACAGACGACCTTCAAACTTTACAGAAAAATAGATTGCATAAGGAGCCGCTGCTGCCCCTCCCCGTTTTGTTCTCCCACCTCCCCCCAAATTCCCAAAAGGCAATATGCAAAAAAGAAAGAAAGAAAAGAAGGAAGAAACACCTTTCAGCAAAATGGAAACAAAAACAAAAACCCCCAAGAATATGAAAACGTAGAAAAGATAAGATAACCTCTGAAAGTTTTAAAGATTTATAAAGTTTTCTTTTAAAAGGCACAACGTTACCATTAGAGTTGGATGGTTATTATATGCTCAGCATACAATGGAACAAAACATCAACAAAATATTAGTCTACATCTAAAAAACTAACCAAAATATAGTGGAGAACGTTTTTATTTTCACAGCTTTGAAGGATGACATCTGGTCCCTAAATAGGCAACATTAAAGTGAAACTCAATCCGTAACTTCTGCTTAAAATGTAATTTCTCAAGAACGAGCTGTGCTCCCAAGCACAGTCCCAAAATCCAATGATGCCTTCAAATTTAATTTAATGTGTTGAAACTAATTGGCATGGGGAGGGTAGGCTTATTGCCATTTTCCTTTTTCCACATTCATGCTGAAGTAGCCTCGCTGGAGAGAGAAGGGAGCTCTTCCAAATTAACATTGGGCCTGTTTTTAACCATTTCCAGGAAGGAATAAGCATGAAAAACCATAACTAGGAACTGGTTAAACCCTGTCAATATTTTTGTTTTAAGAGACTCTTGAGACACAATTGTTGATCATTCCAGGACCAGTCCTATGGAGTTTGCCTCCCTCTCCCATAATACTGGACCTTGGGGAGGGGGTTACCTTCCTTTGGATCCCATTGGCAATAGGCTCAGTGTTCCTTCATACAACCGATAATTGCCTTTTTAGGATTCTCAACCTCATGAGGTGGAGAGGGTACTGCCATGAGCCTCAGTGGCTTTTGGGGGAAAGGAAAAGATAGTGACCAATTCATGGAGGGCTGGAGCTCTCAGGGACTATAAGCCCCAATGGCAAAAGAGAAGCACCATAATCAGAAAAAGTCTACCTGTTAATTAGAATCATAGAACTGTAGAAGGGACCTTAGGGTCATCGAGTCCAACCCAAGAATAGGTGTTTAGGAGGAATCCCACAGGCAGGACCTTGAGATCATTGTTTTATCAGCTCCCAGCAGCAGCTGGCTAGTTTATTTCATTAATAGAATCCTAGACTTGATGGACCTCATTTCTGGCCCGACATGGTCAGAAGTAAATATATGTTATTTATAACTTAGTATCAATGTTATAATAACTCCTCAACAAATTATAAGGAAATACCATCAGTAAGGATTCTTTTTCTCCCTGCTCCCCCTGAAAACTAATCCATCACTTCCCTTCCATAATATCCTTCCATAACCACTTTAATTATTTTGAGAAGCATTTCAGATTTGCTTTTAAGACTGGCTGAACCAAAGCACTGCACCACCTTCTTTTTAAGGAGCAGGAAAACCATATTTTCTCCACTAGTTTATGCTCCTTAAAATCTCTTTTTAAAAAAAAAAAATCTACTTCTTGCACAGAATTACTTCATTAATCAAAAAAAGACAAAATTACACAGAACATAAATACATATTTAACAGATTTACCCCAAAACAATGACAAAAAGACACTTTTTCTGAGCTTAACATACTTTTTTTTTTAAGCTTCTGAACAAAAATGTTAATTACAGCCAAACCTTGCTTAGAAGAACTCTTGATTACAAATCAAAGGAATTCTGACATTAGTTGGTTGGTAGGTCCCAAAAGATTCTCAAGTGGTCCCTCAATATTATTAAATGATTAGGATTTTTAAAATCTAGGTGGGTTCTGTGCGCCAAGGCCGACTCATCCTCACATTGCAATAGACCCCGGAATGCCTTTGTCGTCTCCTTGTTAACTTTGCACTGTCCTGCGTACGAATTGTGGCACTTCTCTTTTAAGTCCTCACAGAGGAGTTAGAATATACTGTCCTTCATGTATTCAAAGGAAACCATCAGTCCAGATGCTTTATTAATTATTATTAATTATTATTATTAATAAAGAAAATAGAACTCTTGTCTTCTGGAAACTTTTCAAAAGCGTTTTGGAGCAGATGGCCAAGTCATTACAGAAGAACAGGAGGCACTTGGGACGGGAAAATGGGGGTGCTCCTTTCACGGGCTGCGCCTTCTTCATTCCATTTCTGAACTTGTGTAGTGCATACTTTTTTGGGGGGGAGGGGGTCCAGGGAAGACCTCAGGTCTTCAACAACTCCTTCCGTCCTTCTCAAGGCCTTGTCAGAGTTGTGTAGACCGGCTGGTCCCAGTTCGCGGTGGGGCTGTGCGAGGGAGGGATGGACAAGCTGTTGAGGATCGGGGTGGCATACGGCCGGCGCGAGGAGTGGAAGTATGGGTACTGATAGAGGCTGGAAGCATAGCCAGGGTATGGGTTGTAGTAGTTGGAGCTTTGGAGATCTGTGTAGTCGCACTGGGAACTGGAGAAAGAGGCCGTGGCCGTGGCCGAGGACACAGTAGTGGCGCACGCCTGGGCAGTGTAGGAGCCGTAGTCGGAGTGAGTCGGGGAGCTGTGGGACTGCTCACTGTAGTGGCTAGGGCTCAGCTGCTCTGTCTTGATGTGGGGCCTCTGCTGCCCACTTTCGTTGGAGGGAGGCGAGGTGGTGGGAGGGCTCTTGTGAGTCCAAACCTGGGGGGCTCCAGCCCCGCTGCCGCCGGTCGGGTGGGGGTAGGCGGGCCCGTAAGACCCTGCCGCAGAGTTCTGCCCATGGTCAGGCGGCATGGCAGAGTGGCCGTTGAGCGGCAAGTACTGGTCAAACTCGTGGACGTCAAAGGTCTCCATGTTGTTGATCACCTCACTGCTCAGCTCAGAGATGTCGACGTTGCTGAAATCGATGTTCTGCCGGCCGCTCTCAACTAGGCGGCGCCCCTCGTGCTTCATCTCCTGCTTGCCCCCGTGGTGGAGGTCCGTCTTGGGGGTGGTGGGCGGGGTAGGGGGCCCGTGGGTCTGCCCTGGAGACAAAGAACATTTCAAGCCATGTGAGCACAGTTCAGAACAAGCCGTTTCAAGCGTCTTGGGTTAGTGGTCCCTTAGCGCCAACATCGGACCCAAAGGAAAACAGGGATCACACAGAATCTTGGGAGTTCAGAAACATCTGGAGGTTCCCCACTCTGGTCTATACCAACCAGTGCCCCAATATGGTACCCTCCAGATGTTTGGGTCTACAGCTTCCATCGAGGGGGCTAGCTGGTTGACTGAGGGGTCAAGCCAGACAAATTAGAGATCCACAATCTGATCTCTTGCCTTAGCTTAAAAGCAGTTGTAGTGAAGGCTTGAGTTGGGACTGCCAAACGTCAACCTTCTCCCCCATTTTGCTGATCTAAAATTTCTCCTTGCTACCCAAAGACCCTCTTTAAGTAGCGATGCAAAGGAGTGGGCCCTGCATGGAATGCGGATGCTGAAATGCAGAGTTACGCTGGTTTGTGGTCGTCTTTTTCTTTCACTGCAATAAATGGGGCAGTCACATGTAAAAGTTCTCCATAGATATGGAGGAACACACACGCCTCCAAATGAGAGAACAAGCACACTTCCCTGGGCTCAGCATTGAGACAAGATTCCTGGGGTAAGCTCTGATGCTCTGGCAAGTACCGTATTACCCAGGCATCCGATGGCTGACATATACTGGCCAGTAACTTTGAGGGTATGTGATCACTTTGAAACACTTTTAGATGCTCTAAATGTTTTGAAATTTTTTTCTTTAATTGCTTTGGAAAAAAAATTAGCTGGCTTTTACACATTTTAAGTATGTTTATGTATTGTTTTAACATTTTGATGTTTGTCACCCTGGGCTCCTTTGGAAAGGCAGGGTAGATATTTAATACATGATTAAGTCTGGAGTGGGCAGTGGTATGGTTGGGTAATTTTAGATGCTGGATTTGGGGGGGGGGCGGCTTTAGATTAGGGTGGGCAAACTTTCCCATCTTCCCAGATGTTGTCACACTCCAGCTCCCACCAACCTCAGCCAATAGAATCATCTCCAAACTATGCAACTTAATTTATTATTATTCTGTGAAATTTGATTATGGCCTTCCAGATTATTTCTGTTTAATTATTGGTTGATCCAACACGGAAGGCACCCACAACCTTGAGATTTCAAACTATGTCTCCTCCGTATTTAGATGGGAGACATGCTAGAATATCTATCCATCAGCACTGATGTTACTTGCAGCCAGGAAGAGGTGGAAACTATTCTTCAGTGAGAATTTTATCGCTCCCCACACAATTCTCCAGGAAGTGATTTCTCCAAGGGATTTTTCAGAGAGTTTCCCTGTTCCGAATATTATGGAAAAAAATACGTTGCCTGCTGATAAATGGGAGAAAATTATGCAAGGCTTCTGTGCCTGCCTTAGCAGCCCAACATGCCACAGGAGATTTTACTGCATGACGTGGGGAACCACTGATGCGAAAACGTACTTCGCAATGTAACTATTTGTAATTTTTGTGATGACTGATGGTTTTCAGCAAAAGTATCTGACAGCCCTGGGACAATGAGAGTTGGAATCCAATAACATCTGGAGGGCTCCAGGTTCCCCATCCTTGCAGATGGCTTCCCAGTGGGACATCTGGTTGGCCGCTGTGAGACCAGGATGTTGGACTAGATGAGCCTCCTTCATCCTGATCCAGCAGACAGGCTCTTTTGATGCTCAGTGACTTCAAAATGTGGTCAAGTCTCACTTTGCTGCCTTGGGGGACCCTCCTTCTCATTCTGCCAAGAGGCACCCTGGATATTTGCTCAAAGAGCTGCACCGACGGCACCACTAAGTAGGAACAGAAGCAAAGAACGGATAGCTGTGAAGGGAATCCCTGTGGGGTTTTTTTTTTGCAAGGAAGTGTTGGGCAAGAGACAGGAGTGCAGAAGTAAGAGTGGGCAATGGGCTGGGTTCTCCCCTTGTTCACTGGCAAAGGGGGAACAGGTGAGCCCAAATATTACCCAAAAGGTTCCTGGTCCAATCTGAAGATGCTGGGGATTGAGCCAAAGATGATGCTCTAACCCGTAGCTAGATCCCTTCCCTTTTAAAGAAACTGCGCCCTGTCATTGCATATAGATGCTGTTTTCTCCAAGGACACAGCCACACCAGACACTGAAAGCACTGCACTGCGCTACCGCTCTAAAAGGTCAAGGCACTCCCTCCCCAATAATCCTGGGAACTGTAGATTACCCTTCTGAGGGTTACAATTGCCAGTCCGCTTAAACTACAGTTCCCAGGATTCTTTTAGAAAAGCTATTTGCTTTAAATGTATGCGGTAGATGTGACTTAATTGCTTGGCAACTGGGAAGAGCATTTGAAAAAGGGTGAAATGGCACATGCCCTTTCATTTATTAAATATATACTACATTTTAGCATTGTGTCTATAAGTTGTTACACTGTTATACATTGTGAACAATTACACCTTGAGTGACTTTTGCAGCCCTCTCGGTGTTTCCCATTACAGTGGTGCCCCGCAAGACGAATGCCTCGCAAGACGGAAAACTCGCTAGACGAAAGAGTTTTCCGTTTTGGAGGTGCCTCGCAAAACGAATCTGCTATGGGCTTGCTTCGCAAGACGAAAATGTCTTGCGAGTTCCTGGGGTTTTTTTCCCCTTTTCCCCCTCTTTTTCTAAGTCGCTAAGCCGCTTATCTGCTTATCCGATAAGCTGATAAGCTGCTAAAAGCCGCTAAAAGCCGCTAATAGCGCTAATAGCGCTAATCCGCTAATCCGTCAATGGGCTTGCTTCGCAAGACGAAAAAACCGCTAGACGAAGAGACTCCCAGAACGGATTCTTTTCGTCTTGCGAGGCACCACTGTATAAATCTGTCGCCCTCCCCTTTCCTTACCTGCGTGGTCACTGTGGTGGTGAGTTTCGCTCATGGATCCCAGACCAGTGTCTGCTTTGTAGATCTGGTTCCCACTGTGATGACTCAGTTCGGCTCCCGAATCAGAATCGCTTTGGCCTGCCTTGACGCTTTTCCTCCTGCGTGGCTGATATTTATAGTCTGGGTGGTCCTTCTTGTGCTGGACTCGCAAGCGCTCGGCTTCTTCAACAAAGGGACGCTTCTCACTTTCACTTAGCAAACTTTTGGAGAGAAAAAAGAGAGATTAAAATCATTGCTTCCATTCAAAAACTACCGTATTTTTCGCTCTATAACACGCACCCGACCATAACACACACGTAGTTTTTAGAGGAGGAAAATCCATAGGCATGCCACCCGTAGGCATTCCCTCCATAACATGCACAGACATTTCCCCTTACTTTTTAGGAGGAAAAAAGTGAGTGTTATGGTGCAGTGCAAAAAATACGGTAGATTACTGCAATCTAATCTCTTTACTTCGAGAGCTTCTCGTTCTCGAAACTACCAGCATGAGTTTGACCAAACTGCAGGACGCAGTGGAAGACAGGAGGGATTGGCGTGCTCTGGTCCATGGGGTCACAAAGAGTCGGACACGACTAAACGACTAAACAACAACAATCTCTTTACGCCATGGCTTGGCAAACTAAGGCCCGGGGGGCGGATCTGGCCCAATTGCCTTCTAAATCCGGCCTGCGGATGGTCCGGGAATCAGCGTGTTTTTACATGAGTAGAATGTGTGCTTTTATTGAAAATGCATTTCTGGATTATTTGTGGGGCATAGGAATTCATTCATCCCCCCCCCCCAAAAAAATAGAGTCCGGTCTCCCACAAGGTCTGAGGGACAGTGGACCGGCCCCCTGCTGAAAAAGTTTGCTGACCCCTGCTTTATGCAATATACGTCTCAAGTGTGTTGGTCTGGAAAGCCAAGTCAAAGGTCACACTTCTGCCCCAGTGTAAGTAAAGAGAGCATTTCTCTTACTGGAGAATGCTACCACTTCATTTTTCCAGTCTTAAATTCAATTTTCCACATCAGTTTGCAATTTTTCTTTTTTAAAAAAGTCTTCATGGAAATTCATCATTTTAGTGCATTCTCCCCCCCCCCAATGTACATGTTTGCATGCAATTCTGCTTAATATATGTATTTTTGCAATACAATTTCCCCCAATACAAATTTTGAAGGACGGCTGTTTCAGAAAAGTGCAAATTAGGTAGGTTTGCATTTAATTGCAGATTGGACTGAATTTCTTCCACATTCCCAGATATCACATCACAGCATGGGCTTCATATTTAACAGGAAATTGTTTTCATGTGTTTTAGGAAGATTTTTCAAAAATTAAAAATTTAGATGTTTAACTGATATTACAAAGTAACTTAGAACAGAACAATACTATGCATGTCTAATCCCGTTAAGTTCAAGGTTTATTTTCAGATAAATGTGTATAGGACTATATAGAAACTTTGAAAACACCAGCCAAAGCAGAAAATTCCAGTTGGAGAGCTTTGACATTCTGCTTTACTCTCAAGTGAAATTTGTACGACTTGAATATTCAGCTTCAGCTGAATTCTGCCTTCAGTTCATGAGGCCCTTCTGAGGATTCCTCCTCAGTATGATGAACATGGCATGAAGGCATGGGGCATGGCCTTTCCAGTGGTGGCTCCTTGTGTTTGAACTTCCTTCTAAGGTAGGACCTGGGTCTGGGGGGGCCCAACCTCTTTATGGTTTCAGGTGGCTGGTTGACACATTGTTTCCAGCATGCTTTTGAAGGAGGAGACACTGATCAGTCCTGCTCTTGCTATCAGTAAATATTGTTTAGTGATTTGCTACATGTGTTAATTTATGATTTTTAAAATTATTTTTGTCTGCGCAAACAGCAGTATAGCAATTATCTATATAAATTACCACGTATAATTTGGAACTCAACAGCGACTTTCTGCTCCTGAACAGAATGCAGTTTTCCATTAAAAAGGGTTTAATGAAATTATATACAGCTCTCCTACCAGTTGCATATAACAGATCAGATTTCCCATCGCTGCAACGAACAATACCCAAGTTAAACATTATTTTACAGGCGAGTCTTTCGAGTATTTCCAAATCTTTGGAATGTATTCTTTAATCTTTGTTACAAGTTTCAGAAATCCTGAACCACAGCAATATACAAAATGTTGGTTTTTCTTCTTCTCTAGTCACTCTACCCTTCTCATTTTACATAATTTTATATCCATCAAGCAAACTTTCCAGGCAGAGAAGACGAGCGCAATTTCAGTGTAAACTTGTTCAGGCTGCAATCCTAAATCCATTTAGCATGAAGAAAGCTACATGGGACTCAATTAAATCTACCTTTGAGTAGACATGTATAGGATCCCACAGTCAAAATACAATCTGTTGCACACTTATTTGGAACAACGAGTCCTACTGAATGCTTGTGGGAAATCATTTACTTAGGAGAAAACCTCAGCGGATGGACTGCTATATCTTTATTATTCCTATTGCTATTACTGCCAACTGATACTTCATAAAAAAAGACTTCTACTCTAGTGTTTCCACTTAAACCAATACAATTAAAATGTATCAGATCCTGATCACCACACAGCCTTGCTTGCACTCCCATGTTGTAGCTGTTGGTTTGACCCTCACCTTTTTACAGGGAAAAATGGGACCCATATACTGTCCTCCCTCATAAGCTGCCCTTGTGGGTCTGGCAGGTAACTTCAATTTAAAACCGCTGTTGCTGTGGTGGCATTAAGCTGTTTATCGATCACACTGTTCGGCTGGCAGTTTGTGAAAAAAGATTTGCATTCAGCGGCTGAGAGCCGTGAGTCAGAGAGGAACCCAAGGTTTCGTTCTTAAGAGTCCTTAGCCTTCCCTCCAGACTCCAGGAGGAGAGATTACAGAGAGATGAAGGCAGAGGGGTGGGGGAGAAACACTTTGGGGTAGGATCTGAGGAAGAAGGAAAAAGCAAAGTAGCTATACCAAAATGTTATCCTAGAGCAGTGAAAAGGGTGAGTTTGGGACACGCATATTTAAGCACCAACACAAACCAGATTACAACAGCCACCACCTTCCTCCATCCCCTGAGTTTTAATTTTATCGTTGCAGCTCTCCTGCATTTGTTCTCCATACACACTTGTCTGTTCCATATAGGAGGCTTACACCATTTCAAAGTCTCTAATACTCTCTTAGCTGACAAGAGGACTTGCAAACTAAATACCGTGGTACCTCGGGTTACATATGCTCCAGGTTACATACTCTTCAGGTTACAGACTCCGCTAACCCAGAAATAGTACCTGGGGTTAAGAACTTTGCTGCAGGATGAGAACAGAAATCGTGCTCCGGCGGCGTGGCAGCAGCAGGAGGCCCCATTAGCTAAAGTGGTGCTTCAGGTTAAGAACAGTTTCAGGTTAAGAATGGACCTCTGGAATGAATTAAATACTTAACCCGAGGTACTACTGTAATGGTCAGCTTGAGCAAATGATGATGATGATTTTTAAAGCCCTTCCTTTGCACCTGCTAGCATTTTCCTGTCCTTGTACCCCCTTCTCCCCATATGCACAGGTATCTCTCTCCTGCGTATTCTACCATATTTTTGATCCATAGAACTTTTAACAATGCACGGAAAACATGGACCCTGAACCACAAAGTTCACCCAGCACAATCTTAGGTATCACTACTTAGAAGTAAAGCTCACTGCTTTCAACCAGACTGATTCCCAGGTATGTGCGTGTGCATAGCATTGCACTGTTAGAACACTATTAGCTCTTAGCGAACACCAAGGGTTATACCTAACCAAGTTGTACTGAACTTAAGTTAGCAACGTCCATTAATTTCAATGCATCTACTCTGAGTAGGGCTGGCATTGGCTACAACCCAGAGTATGAAGAGGAAGTGACAGTTTTTACTTTTTGCAAATCTTTCCAGGAAACTACTTGATAATATTTGCAAGAGACAAATAAAAGATTACAGGCAAAGCGTATTTCACTCATTTAATTTCCATATGTTTATACGGGAAAATTCCACTTAACTATGAAAGGCTTAAACAAAGGGAAGATACTGCTAAATAATATGAGCCCAAATAGACACTTGTGTGATATCCAGCTAAGTCAGACTACCCAAATCAATAAACTAAATTTACTTAACTCCATTCATTTCAATGGGTCTAGCTCCAAGTACGACTAATCTTGTACGTCACTCGTTATTTCTAAAGCACCACAAACACACGAGCAATTTAAATTCGTGCTTATACAACCAACAATCCTCATCCAGCCAAATGCGCCACATCACATCAGATCCAGGGGCTCAATAGACTTGCTGTTTTCACTGGCAACCGGCTATTACCAAAAGGGAGGACAGGCAAGAGAATCATAGGATTGTAGAGTTGGCCTGGTCTGCTTTCGAAAATCAAGTTCTCTGCAGCAAAAGCCATTTCCCGCAGTTGTGAGAGGCCGGCAATTTTTATTTTTTCAAGGAACAGAACAAGCTGCCTTATACAGAGTCAGACTGCTAGTCCATCCAATTTAGTACTGTCTACAACGCCTGGCAGGGACACGGGTGGCGCTGTAGGTTAAACCACAGAGCCTAGGGCTTGCCGATCAGAAGGTCAGCGGTTCGAATCCCCACAACGGGGTGAGCTCCCGTTGCTCGGTCCCTGCTCCTGCCAACCTAGCAGTTCGAAAGCACAAAGTGCAAGTAGATAAATAGGTACTGCTCCTGTAGGAAGGTAAACGGTGTTTCTGTGCACTGCTCTGGTTTGCCAGAAGCGGCTTAGTCATGCTGGCCACATAACCCAGAAGCTGTACGCCGGCTCCCTCGGCTAATAAAGCAAGATGAGTACCACAACCCCAAAGTCTGCCATGACCAGACCTAATGGTCAGGGGTCCCTCCCTTTACCTTTACAGCGCCTGGCAGCAGCCCTCCAAGGATTCAGGCACAAGGACATTCCCAGCCCTCCCTGGGGATGCTGCTGGAGACTGAATTTGGGTTCTTTTGTGTGCAAAGCAGATGCCATGCCCTTGAGCTTCTGCCACCTTAAAACACAGGGGTGCCCAAAGGGGGCAGAGGGGCAAGTGTCCTGAATGCTGAACTCCTGTCATTGACATAAGCCATCGTTTTTCTCTCTCGCCCACCTGGAAATATAATTTGCCCTTTTCTGTGCCCTCCAAGAATTTTTTTCCGGTGCCGCCACTGCTTTTAAACAGGAGAGAAAGAAGTAAGATGGAATGGAAATCTGAAACCGCACACACCAACACCAGGAGCCAAACAAACCTCCCATATCCCCCTCTCAAATCCTTTCCCGTGCTCTGCTCTGTTTACAAAGAGCAATTTCTGCTCCTACATTCTGGCGTCCTTGGATAACACTAATCAGTTACTGGGATACTGGACATTCCCTAGTTTGGGGACCAGGTCCCCATTGTCCCAGAAGATTGGCTTGAGATTCACCTGGATGAACAGAAACACAAATGTGTGCAGAACAAAAAAATAAAGAAATGGTTCCTGTTATGAGAGACGATTGCAGCAGCCGAAAGGCTCCAGGCTCCCAAGCCTCGGGAAATAATTCGGTTCTTCTAGAGGGACCTTGACATGTTTGGCACTAGACCAAAATGCTGGGTTTTTTAAAAAAAATTCCATTTGGGATCAGCAGAAGGTTAAAAACAGACTCTCTTCGTTTAAAGGTGGGGGGGGATTGCAAACTGGAAGAGGAAAAGTTAAGCAACTGCAAATTGCTTTAGCGAGTAAGTCATACAGCTCAGGAGCTACTGATGCTAGAAGTGACCATTAATTATCAGCCAATTTCACTGGACTGCAGACGGTTGCCAATAGATTACAAATAGTCACAGCTGGCAGCATAAGAGGTTTTGGTGCCAGGGGCAGAAAAGTTCAATGTGGCAACCACCTCACCCATTAAATTAACCTGGGAGCAAAAGCAGGAGTGCTGTTTCAGGTTCTACAGGGAGAGGCAAAGATTCACAGCAATGTTCAAAGGCACAGATTTCACCTTGGATATGCTCAAGATTAAACTGCAAACACAAAAACAAAAAAGAGTGCACGTTAAGAGCTTTCCCTGGCTACGCTTTAATACCTTATAGCAGGAGTGAGCAGACTTCACGCTTGCGGGAGCTACTCTGAGTGTTTTGCTAGAACCCAGAGCTCTATCAACTGGAGCCAGATGCTCAAGACATTTACTGAGAATAAAAGAATTATGAGCCCAGGAATTCGGTTTTGAGTACCAAAACTGACCTGTGCTCACATTCCTCCCAAACCAAAAAGCCATTCCTATTGAACACATACAGCTTTCATCATTTCAGCAGTATAGTTTAAGAGAAGAGTAACTCTGTGGTTGCCATTGTTTAAACAATTAGAAGATACTAAGATGGATAGGAAACTGCCTAATACCAAGTCACACCCTCCGTTCATCTAGCTCAGTATTGTCTACACTGACTGGCAGCAGCTGCCCAAGGTTTTTAGACAGCGAGTATCTCACAGCTCTACCTAGAGATGCCAGAGATTGAACCTGACACCTTCTGCATGCAAGGGAGATCCTCTACAATTAACCTATGGTCCATTTCCTGGAAGCCAGAAATCCATGACATCTTCAGTTCACCCCAGTTCAACCAACAGACCCTGATCTACTTTCTGCCCAGCTCTGATCTAAAAGGAACAGTGCTCAATTTTTGTCCTTTCCATCCAAATATTACTTTTCTTCCTGATTCCGTGAGAATGAGGCCATGATCCTAGACTCATTTACCTGGGAGTAAGGTCCATTTGCCTCAGCGGGGCATAAATCAAAACAGTGATATATAGGATTGCAGTGGGGGATATTTCATATACTCTTTCACCTTGTCTGCAGCTATCATGGGGCAGTGTGCAACAGCATCCTGGTCGCTCTATCTTCCGTACCATAAGCTAGGCTGAGAGAGTGACCAGTCCACCATCAGCCGCTGAGCTGCACTGAACAGGGATGCGAACAACAACTCCAAACCCTTTGCTATAAACACGGACTGTGCATAAGTCTTTGGACGCACACATTATTGGTGCTTTGAACAGGAAAGAGCGGGTTTCAATACCATGGCTTCTCCATTTGTGGCCCACTCCCTTTACAGTGTATGTGTGCATGCGCACAGACACACACATACAGCCTATGTTCAGGTACATGTGCTTACTGGGAACATACTGAAACTGCAGTCCTAGGAAAGAGGCCCCACTGGACTTAGCTCTTTAACAATGTACGCCTTCCGAGCAAACTTGCATCAGATGGCACTGTTATGTAGTATTATGCCGCCAACCTTAACACTGCATCTTTTTGGTTCTGGATCGAGCACACACAACTATTCCGCAAAGGTTTTAAACTCATTATACGTCAGAGCACATTGTAGCCAAGCATTGCATAAATGCATCCATGCAAATCCAGCTGGTCGAATAGGAGAGACACTAAGAGGCTACTCCCTAAAGCTCCAGGGGTGTGTTGCATTGCTTTCAGCTGTGCCCGTCCTGCTCTGAGCAATAATCTTGTTGTTGTTGTTTTAAAAAAGAGCTAAAATAATAAGGCTGTCAGTTGATCGGCTGCATCAGTGTACTTGGCTGCTCTAGGCTACTAAGTCAAACTTCCCAGCTTGTTGACAAGGAGTATTTTAAAGGCATCCTGGAAACAGAGGCCAATAATTCACATGCACTTAGGTAAAAATGATTGGATGCCTTGCTTACTGACAGCCAAGGTGCAAACTAGCTCCACTGGGAACCATCCCGTGTCAAAACTGAAGGGAAAGTCGTATGTGTTATCAGAAGTGGGATGATCCATTTACACACACAGCCCATCTGATGAGTGACTCAATCCTAAAACAAGGAGCGACAGCATGTCCCTTTTGGGGAGATGGGTGTGCATGGTGACCTTATTCACAGAATTGGAAGGGACCAAGAGGATCATCTAGTCTAACTGCAGGAATCTGCAGGGATCTTTCACCCAATATGGGGCTTGAACCCACAACCCTGGGATTAAGAGTTTCATGCTCTACCAACCAAGCTATCCCTCAGGAATATATGCTTGTGGACTGGCTCCACTATATTCACTGGTACCTACTTTGATGTAAGGGGAGCTTTAGCCTCAGAGGGAATATTAAGCAGAACAGCTCGGAGAAATGCAAAAATCACAATCCCCTTCCAAGAACAAAAAGGGTTAGCTTCTGACAATGATGTTATAGATTTCCAGCGTTATGAAAAGGGGCTGGACCAAATGACTCATGGTATCCCCTCCACCTCTTACACTAGACTCCAAGCACATATGTTGATCATGCAACTATCCCAGAAACGGTGCCCAGCACATGCATCAAATGCAGACAGATGTCCTTTTCATTTAACATTGACGACACTAGGCCAGTTACACTGCATGTGATCGCACTTTCAATGCTGTTTGTGCCCGCAAAAGTCTTGGGGCAGATGCACTGCTGTGTTTCCAATCTGCGCATACTCTGTAGCTTCCTCCTGAAATCCTGTAACTTTTTATGCCACAAATGTCTCAGGGCGTGTCTCCTGCTTTTGCAGTGCTATAATGCAAGAGTGCAATAAAACTGGGGAGCCATCACAGAGCTACTGCTACAGCAAAATGACGTTTGGATGGTCCAGTATTTAACCACCACTAATGCACTACTGTTGAGTCAACGGCATGCTGAAGATCACCAGTCTGGTGGGGCTCACAGAACAGGCAATTGTTAAAGGAATGAGCTGTGAGCGACGAAGAACCCTCGATGAAATTTCACTTGAGTCATAATAAACTCAGTAGGGAGATTTTTTTGGGCAAGCCACTATTCTCTCAGCCACAGCCTCTGCAATATGGGAATAATAATACTGGACTACCTTATGCAGCTGTGGCAAAGATTAATGCAGAGATAATATAGGCACCACACTTGAAATGGACTGTATCAGTACTATGTTGTAGTATTACCATCTTATCAAATTACATTCTTTGCAGCAGCTACTGAGAAAACATGAGCAAATAATCTAGAAGGAAAGCGCTGGCAGATTGCAAAGGTGGTTCACTAATCTGACGAAGCCAAGTCAACAGTTACTGCTGGCACGATTTATTTTTGCTACGCAGTTTGATATTCCACGAGGACTGGCCAGGTCAGTCGCTGCTGCTTCGTCTATTTGCTGCAGGCATTCTACTTCTTTTAGACCCTTTGCCACAGCCTTAAAACCGCATGCAGTAAATACGGCACAGTCAATTTGATTATTACAACCTGGAGAGAACGCATGGTGGGACTAGAATGATCAATTTTATGATTCTACTATCATTAAGTTCAGTGGCTACGGAATGGGGGGGGGGACCTTCTCCCCCATTTCCTTATCCCTTCAAAGTAAAAGGAGAGAGTTGAGACTGCTCTGTACTAGTACCATCGAATAATTATTTACATTAATAATAATGCAAGTAAGGTTTTTAAAAAATAAAAAAAAATGTGGCACTGGGAGGTGGTACCAGTTGCATTTTTCATTCAGGATTTATATTTGTTATTCCTTCAAAGTACCATATTTTTTGCTCTATAAGACTCACTTTTCCCTCCTAAAAAGTAAGGGGAAATGTTTGTGCGTCTTATGGAGCAAATGCAGGCTGCGCAGCTATCCCAGAAGCCAAAACAGCAAGAGGGATTGCTGCTTTCACTGCGCAGCGATCCCTCTTGCTGTTCTGGCTTCTGAGATTCAGAATATTTTTTTTCTTGTTTTCCTCCTCCAAAAACTAGGTGCGTCTTGTGGTCTGGTGTGTCTTATAGAGCGAAAAATACGGTAATTGGTTACATGAAGGTATCATTAAAACCTTTTTTTTTAAAGTGTTGACATTTCTAACCAAGGGTTCAAGTTTAGTAGTCCAGGAGCCTGAAGGAAAATGCAGTAGCTTTAACACAACTTTACCCTGTTGCCACACACCCAATGTCCAAATGGGAAACGGCCATAGCTCAGTGGATAAGCATCTGTTTTTCATGTAAAAGGTCCTCGGTTCAATCCCCAGGTAGGGCTGGAAGTGAATTATTTCTGAAACCCTTGACAGCATAGACAATACTGAACTAGGTGGACCAAACAGTCTGAAACAATATAAGTCCGCTTCCTATGGCTTTCGTTTTCCGAATCACAGGCTTCGGAACAACCCAACGCCTCTTATGAGCAAACCCTAACAGAAGTAGACTTGGTCTGAAAATACCACATGGAAATGTCAACAGATTCACTCTCACACCCACAAAGGTGTCAAGGGTAGCACTGCCATCCTTGAGAGGAAAATAGACACTAACCAAGAGACAAAACAAACTCCTGTGGCACCTCGTAAAAACCAACAGAATTGTTAGGCATAGGCTTTACAGGCACAGACCTGCAGATGAAATATTTCAGCCTACGAAGGTTCCATGAGACTCTTGTTTTTGACATGAAAATGGCGCTCTTCTATTCCTTATGAAGAGGCAATGAAATGGGTCTTTAAAAAATGCAAAGGAGTATTCCCAAAACCCTGGAGTGCTGCTGCCTGTCAGGGCAGACTTCACTGAGCCAGATGAGCCAGTCTGGGTTTGGCCCGCATCCTGTTCACACATTACTGGCACTAATTAAAGTTTTGAATTTTTAAATAAATAATAATAGGAAATAAGTAATAGATTGATAGCTATTTCTTCCGAAACAGGAGGAGAAAAACTGGCAGAGCCAAGAAATAACCCATTGGGTTATTGAACTAAATCATACCCAATTCCCAAAGCCTCTAAAGAAAAACAAGAATATTTGAATAGTGGGCCCTTCACAGCTCTGAGGAGTGTGCCCTTTTAATACCACATTTACTGGGGGGGGGGTATAGCCCTCCAAAGTGTGCAATGCTTTGGGAGAGAAAAGTTTGGGAGGAAAGGGGGGGCACTAAGTAGGATTTTCGCCCACGCAACCAGACAGCTGGATGCTACAAGGTTGCTAGGAGGCCACTGCGGCCTTGAAAGCAATGCCGTAGCACACCTCACATGCTTTTCCACCCAGGCAGTGAGGCACAACTGAGATCCATGCTGCTCTCAGCAACCATCAGAATTGCCAAGACAGAAGAGGCAGCCTGGAGAAGTTTGGGGGAATTTGGGGGTGCTTTGGTGGTGGGTAGGTTTAAAGTGCATGCCTTTCAAGTAGCAGAAATGTCCCTGATTTGAACCTTGATGTTTCTTTCTCTCTCCCCCCCCTCCACACCAGCTGTCCCTCATTATGCTGCCTGTGCCTTTGATTTCCACCAGGTGTTCCCGGACTTTGGGATTTATCAGCCGAAGAGCTGCTGGAGACTCTACTGGGCCCCCCACTGTAACAGCAAGAGACACCCCAGGTGATTCGAAACTTGGGAATGGTTAGGAAATGTTTCATACAGTGCTCCTTTGGGAAGAGACATCACTAACTCCATAATGCTCACAAAAAGTGACTCCTATGACCTCCCTGTTTTTTTCAGTCCGTTTCCCCCACTTCCTAATCAGTCTCTCTTACAAGCAGCACAAACTTCAACGGAATTAATTTTTTCCGACACAAAATGCTGGGGGAGGGGAGAGCTCTACTAATTTTAATTGGGAAGAAATAAGATGGGTTTGATGGAATTTTTTAAAAAGCTCAGATGCCTCCCCCCACCCCCAGTTTATGTTTCACCTTCTTCAAATCTGGAGATCCAGAAAAACAAACATGAAATTGAGTTCAAATGAACCCTACTCCATCTACATTAAGGATAGGTTTGGGGAGAGAGAAATTGAACACCATCTAATCTCTCCAAAGGGGCCTTAATACCCATAAAGTCTTAATTTATGTACTTAAATTCATACACCGTTAAATGTCTGGAAAGTTTTCCAACCACACTACAGCAAGCATAAAGAAATGGTGTGTCAGAGTAGGAACTGGGAGAACAGGGTTCAAACCCACTCTGCCATGACATTATATTTACTGGAGCACCTTGGGCTACCTTTTGCTAAAAGGGGGAATGGGAGGGATAAGATAAGATAAAATACAATAGCAGACCAAAAAGTAACACGATTTTAAGACGGGTTTGAGGTCTGCTGCCTAAGTGCTGCGGGGAAAGCAAAAAATGTAACATACACTCCTCCCCCGAAAAAAAGGGAAGGCTATCCCAATCTTAAAACTTCGCTTTTTTTGTTTTTTTTAAATACTCCCACTGGTGTTCTAATGCAATTAATTTGTCATCAATCTGTTTAGGACTGGAATCCCACACCATTTACTTGAGTGTATTCCTTGGAAGTAACTCCCATTCATTCCCGTCGGGGCGCGTTAACTTTAAAGGGAAAGGTCCCTGGCCGTCACCTTTCCGTTCTCTGCGCGTCTTGCCCTCGCAGGCGCGACTTCTCTCCCCACCGCGGGCTGCTGCGCTTCGTCCGCCCCGTCCAGCCCCGTCCAGCCCAGCCCCGCGCGCCCCGGCCCGGCCACTCACCGCCACAGCTTGCCGAGCGTCTTGCTGAGCTCGGCGTTGTGCAGATGCGGGTACTGGTCAGCCAGCTTCCGCCGGGCGGCCTGCGCCCACACCATGAAGGCGTTCATGGGCCGCTTGACGTGCGGCTTGGCTTTCAGCGCCCCGTTGCCGCGGACGGGCATGGGCACCAGGCTCCAGTCGTAGCCCTTCAGCACCTGCGAGACGGCGTCGCGGATGCACGCCGGGAAGCGCTCGTCCACGTCGCCCGGCTCGCCTTTGGGGCCGCCGCCGGGTCGCTGCGAAGAAGCCGAGGGCGCCCCCGGGGCCCCCTCCGAGCCAGCGGGCGACGACGGCGCGTCCGAGTCCGAGTCCACGTGGGACATGGAGCTGGCCGTGCCCGCGGGGCTGCCCGGCGCCTCCAGGGCTTTGGAGTGCTCCTCGCTCATGTTCAGCATCGGCGGCGCGCGAGTAGAGCCGGCCGGGAAGAGCGGGGCGCCCCAGCAGCGGGGCCCAGGAGCCAGGCACGGGCCAGCCGGGAGCGCACGGTGCCTGGAGCGCGCGATGGAGAGGCAGCCGGGCGCACAACGCCAAGCCGCCTGCCGGGCGAAAAGCGACGCTGGGCCAGCCGCAGCAGCAGCAGTAGGAGCCTCCGGAGCGGAATCGGCAGCCGCAGCAGCGCCAAACGAGCAAGTCCCCCCAGTGCGCTAAACTCTCCCGTGCGCAAAAAGCGGAGCTCTCCAAACGCGTCCTCTTCGCAGCCACCGACGTCGCCAAGTAGAAGCCGAGCGGCGAAGCCGGCCAGCAACTTTCTTTGAGTGCGGGGCGAGGCAGCCCCTCCCCTCCCGCACTTCCGATTGGCGGCCTCCGACCGTCTCATCTGCATAGGAGGGCGGGGCTTTGACCCTTCCGACTTCTTAAAGAGGCAGCCGCCCTTTTTTTTTTTTTTGCTTTCCAAAATTGAGTGTATTTACTGCGTTGAATGTAACCGGGATGGTTTTCTTTGCTGCCCTTTCCCCGTTAACCCCCTGAGTACCGCCTCCCTCTGGCGGGGTGGTGGGGGCAGTCATGCAGAGGATATTTCTCTCCAGCATCTCCTGCTCCGCCCCCCACAAAAAAGCCACGCTAAATTAATCGCTTAAACACTAAACTCCGATCAGACCTCAGTTGCAACACAAAGCAGGCTGCGAGGCTGTGCGCGGTTACCTGGGAGTAACCCTTACTGCGCACAGCGGAGCTTATTAGAGGACCGTGAGGAGCCGAGGGAAGTCCTGCCAGGTACGTGCAACATCAGCCGAAGTTTGGCTTCCCACCGCGGCCGGGCAGATGCTGCTGCCGGGAAGCCCACAAGCAGCAAGGCAGGAGGGGGGTAGCTTTCCTCCACTGCCGTTGATGCCGCCGTCGCCGCCGAACTGCTGCATGCAGAGATAGACTGCGTCTGAGCCACGATGTTCCACGTAACTTCCACGTAAATTTATAGACGCCGCTGGGAATTGGTCTCATCGTCGCGAACTGTGACTATGGATCCCCGCCCTCTCCGAAATAGTTATTTTATCTATTTATTTTATTTCCTCCTCAGAGAGCCCAAGTCAAGAAACAAATATACTTTTTAATATTAAAAATGCAGTATAGAATGGGATCGCGCACTCTGGGATCCTTGCCTCGGCTTCTATTACAATTAAGACTGTAAGCTCCTCGGAGACAGGGACCTGGAGTAGGTTGTTGTTTGCAGCCTTTGGTGACATCCCACAGCACCATGGACTTTAATGGTGCGAAATTTAATAATTACTATTATTATATGATATGAATAATTGTTATTTCTGTTAATACTCTATTAATAATTACTGTTACCATTTATTGTTGTTGACAACTAATGGTTTTAATTTATATTTCTATTGTTATTAATAATAAAAATTAGTAGCAAAAACGAGTGGTGTTAATACTATCGCTGCTATGATTGATAATTGGTAATAATGATCATTTGTTTATTTGTATGCCACGCCCTCACAGAATTATGCCCAAAACAATTACTGTTGTTAATTATCACTGTTATTAGTTATTATGACCATTATTGTGGGGTGGGGGTTAAATTTTGGGAAGGGCCTCCTCTAAGGTCCTTTACTTCCAAGCAAGTGACAGCGGAGGTCTAGAGCCTGCAGTCTAGGCTCTGGATAGCTAAAGATTTTAATTTTACTTTTTTTGCAGAATTGGTATTGGGAAGGGAGGGGAAGGGGAGGTGGGTAGAAGAACCTAGTAGCTGCCTCCTTGGCTAGGCAATCTGCCTCCCCACACCCACCCACGCCCTGTTCAGCTCAGCAGCCTTTCTCTTTGCAGGGCGTTTCTCCTGCCTCCACCAATGTCACATCCACCATTTGAAGAAAAAGCAAACGCTCACTGCACCCCTCCTCTTTTCCCTCTGCCCAGAGATATTTTATTGCAGATTTCTTTTGATGGGGCCTCCAGATTTCCAAGCTGAAGACTGACAGGTTGGAACACAGGAAACTGCCCAATAGCAAGTCGTGTCATTGCTCCATCTCGCTCAGTATTGTCTACCCTGACTGGCAGTGGGGAGAGAGTGCTCTTGTATTTGGTTGGGTCCTGCTTGCAGGTTCCCCATAGAGACATCTGGGTGGCCACTGTGAGAACAGGATGCTGGACTAGACGGGACACTGGTCTAATCCAGCAGGCTCATCTTGTTGTTGTTTAGTCGTTTAGTCGTGTCCGACTCTTCATGACCCCATGGACCAGAGCATGCCAGGCACTTCTGTCTTCCACTGTCTCCCGCAGTTTGGTCAGACTCATGTTTGTAGCTTCGAGAACACTGTCCAACCATCTCGTCCTCTGTCGTCCCCTTCTCCTTGTGCCCTCCATCTTTCCCAACATCAGGGTCTTTTCCAGGGAATCTTCTCTTCTCATGAGGTGGCCAAAGTATTGGAGCCTCATCTTCCCGATCTGTCCTTCCAGTGAGCACTCAGGGCTGATTTCCTTAAGAATGGAGAGGTTTGATCTTCTTGCAGTCCATGGGACTCTCAAGAGTCCCCTCCAGCACCATAATTCAAAAGCATCAATTCTTCTGCGATCAGCCTTCTTTATGGTCCAGCTCTCACTTCCATACATCACTACTGGGAAAACCATAGCTTGAACTATATGGACCTTTGTTGGCAAGGTGATGTCTCTGCTCATCTTATGTAGCAATAATAATGTTCCTATGTTATCAGGCCAAAAGTTGCTAAAAGATCCCTTTAACCAAATGGAAAGCAAGTGGGCATGGGGAGAAACGGACACCAACTGAAACAGCTTCTGATCTCAGAGTTGCCTCCAAGCATCCACCTTTGCAAGGATTCTGCAACTGCCCATCCAGAGTAGAGGGCACCTCCACCTCAGGAACAGGGGTAACTCTCAGGCTGACCCTTTAAAGACTCTCATTTTTACATTTACCACCACCAACAACAACAACCCCCCCCCCAAAAAAAAACCAGTTGTGGTACAAATCCCTGCAAACCCCTGGAAGCCTGGGTTCAGCTTTGCAGAGAAAAAAATCTGTTTAAATGTTCCCTGCCCCCCTGCAGCTGTTCTGCTGGAGCCAGAGGATTCCCCGCTGCCCCCCCCCCCAGCAAAAAAAAATATACACAATCAAGGGAGTCAGATGCCTTGGCAGAGGTTTGGCTGCCTGCCTGGGGCTGTGGATCCACATGCTGCCTGCATTTAACTTGGATTCTGCCTTACTGGCTTAAGTTACGACTATGCTGGTTTAAGGGAAGTGCTTATTTCTAATACAAACACACTAGGAATTCAGTTCCAGAATCACTTTCATAAGTTGCAGGTTTCCCTTCCTCCCACAAAATAAAAGAGCTTCTGAACATGCTCAGAGTGTTTTTCTCCCCTTTACTACATAAGCACATTTGGAATAGCAATTCCCACCCACCCTCTTGAAAGCATTTGGATTTTATATTTCAGGTATCAAAATGAGATCTTGCTCATCTCTGGTCCTTTACCTCTTAGGGTCCTACAGCTGCCTTATACCAAGGTGGGCCAATGGTCCCTCTAGCTCAGGATTGTCTCCGTTCTACAGCATTGTTGTGCCCCTCTCCCCGCAGCATGGCACCCAGTGTGGCTGCACCAGTCATGCTGCCCTAAACCCACCTTTGTTAAGACCCATTTCCAGATCAGGGGGTGCCAACTATTCTGGGTCTTCGTTGTGTCTTTAACTGGATCCTTATCATAGAAGGATGGGATGTGGAACCTGGGGAACCTCAAGTGGTGCTGAACTACATTTCCCATCAGCCTCAGCCAGCTGCTTCAGGGTTACTCAGAGCACAGGAAGCTGCCTTATACCAAATCAGATTGTTGGATGATTCAGCTCAGTGTTGTCCACACTGCCTGCCTGCAAATCTCTAGGTTTCCAGGCAGGGGACATTCCAAGCTCTACCTGGAGATGCTATTGAGGATTGAACCTTAGACCTTCTGCATGCAAAGCAGAAGCTCTACCGCTTTTCTCCATGAAGCCAAGCCACCTTGTTCTACAAGTGTCAAAAGGTGATGTGGAATTTGCTGATATCACGCGCTGTAACCTTCCAACAGATTGACTTCATTCCCAGCGGTGCACACCTCCATGTCTCCTGAGACAGGCGGGTGCCAGCCTGTGTGATTCACAAATCTACCTCTAAGGAAATCCTTCACTTTTATCTACATGGCATTTTTCACACACAAGACTCGCAGGGCTATTTGACAGGTGGGGTGAAGGGCAACCTACCTACAATCTCACAACACCCTCAAAACAAATAAGCTATTTATCTTGACCTATACAATGCCCTATTGTGTCCCCCCACTGTCCCCCCTTTTTAAGCAGAATAAAGCCAGTGGCACTGATGGGAAACTGGCAGAACAAAAGGCTCATTTAGAAGGGACTGCTCTGTAGCCTGAGAAGCCCCAAATAGTGTGACACCTGGCGAGATAGATCTTCAGAGAGGCTATCGATCAGTCTTGAACAAGAAAATATTAACTCGAGTTGACTTTGTGAATTCACTTTTAAACACGTGGGGGCTGTTAATCAATTTGGGGTTGTGGGGGAGGGTGGGGCATTTCCTATAGTCTTCATCAATGTGGCACAATCTGATTTAAGAAGAGTCCTGTTGGATCAGGCTCAGCTAGTCCAGCATCCAGTTCTCACAGATGCCTGTGGGAAAACCGCAGGCAGGATTTGAACACAAGATCACTTATCCTCCTCCAAGGTTTCCAGAAACTGGTATTCAGAAGCATTACTGCCTTGACTGGGGAGGCTTTGACTCCTACTATGGGAACCGTGGGTGCCATCTTGAATAAAATATTGGGGGGGGGGGAAGCCACGTAAGCCCCACCCTGCATAATCAATCACAAGACATGGCGCACACACCCACCGTTTAAATGGCAATGCTCATTAACTGGGTGTGTGTGTGTGTGTGTGGAGGCACTAGCCAGGGACTTTCACTATACAGTGGTACCTCGGGTTACATACACTTCAGGTTACAGACTCTGCTAATCCGGAAATAGTGCTTCAGGTTAAGAACTTTGCTTCAGGATGAGGACAGAAATCGTGCTCCGGCGGCGCGGCAGCATCAGGAGGCCCCATTAGCTAAAGTGGTCTTCAGGTTAAGAACAGTTTCAGGTTAAGAACAGACCTCCGGAACGAATTAAGTACTTAACCCGAGGTGCCACTGTACTCTTTTGTGTACTTGCTAAAAACCATTTTAGTTTAGGCATGCCTGTCCAGCTGTGTAGAATGCTGACATGCATTTTAATATAGTTACGTTAGCTTATCATTTGTTTTAATTATTTTTGTGAATGCTTTAAATAGTTTGTTAAAACTGTTTTTACTGATTCGTTCCATTGTTTTGATTCTTTTTGTAAACTGTAAATTTTGTGAAAACAAACAAACAAACAAACAAACAAAGGCAAAAAACTTTAAAACTACATTTGGGTAGCTTGCAGACTCAGAGTGTGAATGCAATGTTAATTGATTTATTTATAAATGTACCAGCCCTGCTTCCATTCAATACATATAGGCATATGAAACTAACAGACCAATATTTCAGGTTGTGCAGAGCCCCCAAATCCTGCTACTGATGCTACTATTTGAACCCAGAGGGTGAGTCCCCTGGCTACTGAAAGTGACCAGATGAAAGGTGGCAACAGAACCAGGCTTCTATGCCTTTAGTAACTGCAGAGAAGAAGACAGACTGTCAGAGTGACATTATTATCATAAGATAAATATTTATTTGCTTACAGCCATAAGTCGTTGCCAGGACAACAGAAAAAGAGAAACATAAAGGATGAGAAAATATAACCTCTACTTGAAATCAAGACTAAAATGAAACTTCAACACTTATTGGGGTTGCTCTTAATTCTAGCTTGCTCAAATTAACAAGTCATCGTTGCAAACAGCAACCATTCGATTCAAGGTTCTCGCTGGGATTTCAAACTACAGTATTCAATTTTCCTTTCCATGCATATGAATGGATAGTCTGACGCTCTGCTTTTTTATTTGGCTGTTAAGCCTCATCGTGCTTGGATCTTTCAAAATCCGTCTTGCGGCACAGCACAAAAATCCAGCACATGTTGCGAACTTCACAGAAGCCAGTTTGGCAATTAAACGACGTGATATAATTATTTCATTCATTTAATTAGGAATTCCCCCTTGAGTTCACCACTGCAGACTCCAGTCCTACGCGTGATCAGCTCGCAGCAAGAGCAAACGAGCGCCCGAAGTCAAGCTACCCGGGCGCGCGTGCGCCACTGCCCTCTCCAATGGCCGCGCGCTCCGTGGCGTCTCCAAAATACGCCGCCCGGGGATGCGGGCGCACGCGCTGTACCGCGCCAGGCCATCGGGCCCGCCCACTTCAGACAGGCATGGCTACGAGTAGGGAGGACCTGAGGCGGCGGCGAGGGGCTGGTGGGGAGGCGGTCGCAGCCGCCTCAGACTCCGGCGCGAAGGAGTCGCGCAGCCCCCCGGCTCCCTCCGCCTTGCGCCCTGGTACCTTTTGGCTAACGCGCCTGGTGCTGCTGCGCGCCACCGCCTTCATTTACTGTGAGTGCCTGCCTGGCAGGGGACGGGGAGGCAGAGATGGAGAAATCGGCGACGGGGCTTCCAAATCCTCGCCATCAGTTCTCTATTTCCAGCTAACGATTTTTATTTGGTGGGGTGGGGATAGATAATAAGCATCTTTCTCTCCAGCTTTTTATTTTTTTAAAAAAGAAACTGGCAAGACTGCAAATCCTAACCTCCCACATACCCCATTGAATTCATTGGGACTTTCTCATAAATCAGGAAACCGGAAGGCGTCGGGCAAAACTCCCCCTCCTTCCCTGCAAATAAGAAAAATGATTGCAAAGGCTGTTGTTGTGGCTCACTCTGCACAGAAACAAGCTGAAGGGAGAGTGATGCCTCCTGGGGCAATGAGTGCAAACAGATAGCTTTGTACTTGGCTTCTACTCTACTAGTTCAGCTTCCAAGTATTTTACAGTATTACTTTCCACAGAAATAATCATTTTCTGTATTCATAGTTTTTAAAAAATCAGATTGCTAAAAATCAGTTCAGTTCTCTAGGTATTTTGATTACCGGTATCTCCTCCCTCTGCTTCCTGAATCTTCCAACATTCAGCTTCTTTCAATGTCTCTGAGTTCTAGTGTTATGAGAGAAGGAGAAAAACTTTTCACTGTCCACTTTCTCCACTTTCTATCTTGTGAAATGCCCTTAGATCTTTTGATGAAGGGTGGTATATAAAGCAAAGAAAGAAAGCATAATTTTACAAATTTCTATCATGTCACCTCTTGCAATTCCAGCAAGCTCTGCTTTTGAGAATGGTCTTTAGGTTTCTAGCTTTGCAAAAGAAAGCTGCAGGTGTGTGTATTTCATAACTATTCTTTCAAGAGCCAAAGCTCACCGGTAGAGCAGCTGTTTTGCATGTAGAAGGTCCTAGGTTCAATTCCTGACATCTCTGGGTTGTGCTTGGAGAGACTCCCTGTCTGAAACCCTGGAGAGCCCATGCCAATCAGTGTAAGCCACAGATAGGGAATCTTTTCAATGAATGGGCAAGATCCTGAGGCCCCACCACCCCAGCTTGTAACCTGGAAAGATGGGAGTGGCCACCCACCTTTCACTCTCCTGGTGTTGTCTTGATGTCAGGTGACCAATTTTCCATTTGTAGGGTGGCTTGAGTTCAAGCCATGCTGCAAAAGAAGATCCCGGCCAGCCCAAGGCAGGGCTTGGAAGTCATCACCAACTAGCATTGCTTTCAGGTTCTCCTTCTGACAAGAATCATTCTCAGTGATACTTTGCATTTGGCAGCAATGGTTAAAGGTGCCAAGTTCAAGCTTTGCTTTCTAAGGAACAGTTGGGAGAACATTTTAAGCCTCCCGGTTGTTCATTTGCAACCACATATTGACATATATGACATGAGGACACCAGAAGCGCTTCCTGGAACAGGCCCAGCTAGTCAAGCATCCTGTTCTCATAGTGGCCAACCGGATGCCCATTATGGGAAGACTGCATGCAGGACCTGAGTGCGAGAGCCCTCTACCCATCTGCGGTTTCCAGCATCTCGTATTCAGAAGCATTACTGCCCCAACTGTGGAGGCAGCACATAACCATCATGGCTACTAGCCAGCGATAGCCTTATCCTGCTCCTTGAATTTGCCCAATCCTCTTTTAAGTTGGTGGCCATCACTGCCTCTCGGGGTAGCAAGTGCCATATTTTAACCATGTGCTGCATGAAGATGTCAGATGTAGTGTGGGGCTTAGATAAAATAGCCTCTCTGGCCAAATTAGGACCCTGGCCTGGGTTAATTAAGCCTGATACTTCCCCATTGCTTGTGAAGAGACCTCAGTGGACTATTGGCCTTTCCCTTTATAAGGCATCTTCCCTTCGTGGTTCACTACCGCATGTGGTCAGCACTTTTAACTGATTTTAAGAAAATTGATTGCTTTTTTGTAAGAAGCTTGGGTGGGAATGGGGAGGAGCAGATGTGTCTTGAACGTTTTGCATTTCACGTCTTTTCATCCGTATCAAGCATGAATATCGGGATTATTTCTTCCTCGAACCATGACAATCTTTGGGTGGGGAGAGCAACACAAAGAAAAGGCTGGGGCTAGATCAGCAGACCTAACAAGTCTAGATGGCTGAGACTCTGTGCCTGTTGGGTTGTTCTTATTATTACCACTAATGTATTAATTGCCTTCTAAACCACAGTGTCAAGGCGATTTACGCATAAGATAACTGAAAATAGCTAAAAACACAGAAACAAGAAATACGTCTAAAACTGGACCCAATTCCTAACAAGTGGAAACTTGTGGTAGAGACCCGTTTGTCCAGATTGGGGGTACACCACTGGAACAATGTTTTCAACTGTTTCTGGAAAGTGCAGGTAGTGGGCAACTGTACATAGACGGATGATCTGACTCTGAATAAGGCATCTTCCTATCTACAACCTTATCCCATGTAATGCACAGAAAATACCTTTAAAACAATATGAAAATGAACAGCTTCTACTGTGTTCCGCTAGATTTCCAGAAGTGACTTTTACATTGTGTGAAAGCTTAAATATAATATGGAAATTAGCAGTTAGGGAAAACGTCAAATGGAGTACTGTGTGAATGCATCCCAACTGAGCTTCTTGCCATTGTGAACCTGTCAGGCCTCTATTTCAGGGGCCTCTTTGTGGCCTCGTGTGTGCTGCTTCTAGATGTTTCCGTTATGTCCAACCTGCATGTAAATAACAGTGTACACTCTCCGTTTTATTTCCGTTTTTGTCAGGGTGTATCTTATTCCTCATTTGCTCTTCCTTTGTTTATCTTTGCTCTCAAGCCAGGAGTGTAATTTGTACTTCTAGGAGCTGATGAGCAGTTGGATGGCAGGCCAGCAATTTTGAGGTAAATTTTGATTAGCACTTGAGGAAAAACTCCTTGGCCAATTGCAGTGTTAATCAGGGTAAATTAGGTTGTGGAGGGTTCCCCACTCCTCACCGACCCTCACCCTGGAAGGAAGGGAAAAAATATTTTTAACCAAAGTGGATATATTAAACTGTGGGGGAAGTTTCATGAAGGCCACAGGCTTGATTTGGATTTCTTTATGTGTCTTAACTATCATTTACGACTGCTTTGGTGTGATGGTGCAATGTTATAGCATAGCCTACCAGACACTGCTTACCTAGTTGCCTGCAGTGGCTAAGTGTTGCCTCTAGGTGACCAAGCAAACAAATTGAACAAAAAATGGTGGTTTTGGTTCCCTCCCTATCCCCCCCCCCGCCCGCTGTATATTATTTAGGCATATGTTGGCTGGCAAGCAAAGGCTGTAACCTGGTTACATTTGTTTATTTTTTAAAAAAATTTATTAACAATTGCAACATAACAAAATATCAAAACATATTATATTCATTATTTCCCCCTTTTTCCCCACCTCCCCATCAAACCCTCCCTCCCCCTGAGACTTCCCTTAGCTCGTCCCTCTGATTTATACAATTTTACAGTATGCAGAGAATAACATGTACATTTGTTTATTTAGATGATTTATATCTATACATCATCCTTTACACAAGCCACAGGGTGGTTTATAGTAAAAGTAAATAAGATGAGAAGAATATACACAATCTGTAAAAAGATACAAGCCTTAAGAGTAACAGCACAACTCATAGCAAATCAGTAGGTAACAAATTACTAAAAGATGCAGGAAATGCTCTAAGCAAGCACGCAAGCTGGAATTTACTCCGACAAGAGGCAATGATGGCCACCAACATGGATGGCTTTAAAATAGGATTGGACAAATTCATGGAGGACGATAAGGCTATCAATGGTTATTACCCCTGATGGCTATGTTCTGCCTTCACTGTTGCAGGCAGGAATGCTTCCAAATACCAGTTGCTGGAAACTGCAGGAGGGGAGAGTTCTGTGGCACTCGGGTCCAGCTTGTGGGCTTCTCATTGGGTCACCTGGTTGACTACTTTGAGAACAGGATGCTGGACTAGATGGGTCACTGGTACAGCAGCCTCTTCTTGCTCCTACAATAATTCTGCTTTACTTGGACTGATGTGTCTCTGCTAACACGCCTTTTCCCTCATCTTTTTTCTTTGCAGTTGTAGCTTTTTTGGTGGCTAAGCATCAAAACAAGGCCCTGATTGGAGACCAGGGACTCCTCCCTTGCAAGTTGTACCTGGAGAGTGTCAAGCGCTATTTCAAGGGGAAGATAAACTTGGACGCCTTAAGCTATGCCCCCACTTTAATTTGGTTTTTGGATTGGTCCAGCATGGACAGTGTCCTGGATGCCTTTGCTGTGGCTGGCCTGGGGATCTCATCTTTTGTCCTGGTCACCGGCTGCGCCAATGTGATCCTCATGGCTTCCCTGTGGGCTCTCTACCTCTCCTTAATTAACGTGGGACAGGTCTGGTAAGTTGGTTGGTGCATTTTCTCTGTTATACTTGTTGCTTGTCATTCTGAGTTATTAAGTTATTAAGATGGTGATGTAGAAATAATGAAACATCTCATAGGCTCCCCACCCCTATCCCCAACTTCATGCCCTCCAGATATTTTGGACTATAACTCACATTTGTAGGAATGTCCCATTCCTTTGATGTAGAATGGTTCAGAAACGTTTTAAATAAATAACGATTCTCCATGCCTCTATGCCAGAATCCCGTCCAATGAATTTGTCTACTAGGAATGGGTAAGAAATCTAAGATAGCCGGGGTGTGTATGTGGAATTTGATTTCTGGGCTATGACAGTTTGGGGTTGGCACTCCGATTGCCTTAGAAACACAACATGAATGATGGGATGATACCTTCATTCTGTCCCTGGATCCATCTTGAGGAAGAAGGCTGGGGCTCATCATGCCATTTTGTTTCTACGCCCAAAGCAAGATGTTCAAAGCCCTAAATGACATGGGCCCCAAATACCTGAAAGGTTGCCTCATTCCCTACAGACCCTCCTATGTGTTAAGATCAGCAGTGGGGGCCTTCTTGGTAGTTCCACCTCTCTCAGATATTCAGTGAGTGGCAGCCCAGGAGAGGGCCTTCTCTGTGCCTGCCCCGAAGTTGTGGAATTCGTTCCCTACACAGGTGTGCCTGGCTTCTTCACTGTATAGCCTTTGATGAATACTGAAGATTCATCACTTTCTCCTGACCCTTGGCACCTGAGATATGTGTCTTCAGAGTTCTCCCTATTCCTGTGGTTGTGGGCTGTTTTAAGTGTTTTTAATTCTGAATTTTTAATTGTTGGGACCAGCTGGTGAAGGGCAAGCAATAAATCTAACAACAACAAGAAGAAGAAGTAATAATTCCTGCACTACAGGCATTTGGATCTTTTCCAACTCTACAATTCTATGATTCTTTGGATAACAATGCCTTAGAGGGGATGGGACCCTAACCGTGGTGAGCACAACAAATGGATTTAGGGAGCCTTGCCGAAGAAACTCCAGGGTTCCTTTGCTCCAGTTGTCCAGAGGGCTGTGAGACTTGATTGACAGCAGGATCATGCTCAACTTGCTGAGCCTTCCTGAATGGGCACAGAAACCTGGCTCCCTTGGGAGGCCACATGGTGCCTCTTGGGAATGTTGACATTTCTGGCTCTTTCTTTGCTGGAGCAGGACTGTGGCTTTGAAGGAACCACGTGTGATATTTGAGGCTGGATTGTTATTTGGGGTTACTGATTCCCTTTGAGTGTGTGTGTGTGTGTGCACAAAACATATGAAGTTGGATTCAGCTCCTTCACTGGATAATTTATAGCAAACGGTAGCTTTTGTCGAGAACCACATAGCAATTTGATCAAGGAGGATGAGGTTAAGGGGAGTGGGACTAGGTGTTGCCCCCCATTCATCTCAATTTTAGTGGCAGTATAAATTATGGTGAAATATGAAATGGAGTTAATATTGTAAAGAGGGGTGGGATAGCTTTAAAAAGAGGCTTGTGGACTGTTGAAAATTCTTCTGCTTCCCCCCTGCCCCATTCAGATTTCTCTGAATGTCATTATTCTTGTATATATACTGTGACATTCAGTTGCTTAGATGTATCTTTGTGGGTTATTAAAATAATAATTAATAAATGGAGCTTGGGGTACGAAGTGGTGTTGATTAATTTGTTCCAAAAACTTATCAGAATGATCAACCTTCTCTACTGTACTCCTGGCGAGACAGGATGGACAGATCTTCCGAAGCTGGCTCTTTGTTGGCCAGTGATCCACATTTCATAGTGCATACCTCATTAATACTCCCACAGCCACAGATAGAACCAACAATCCTCCAATCAACCCAGGAGGGAGAGGGGGATTGACATTTAACGAAACACCATGGGACTGTCCTCCCCGCTTGGGGTGCAGTTGGTTGGATTTTATCTTCTAGGGATACTTACCCTATCAAACCTCCACCTCTTCCTCATACCATTTTGACCCAGGAGTCCTGGCCCAAGGATGACTTGTTATTGAGGGGATGTTACCCCTCTATTGGGGAGGCTACTATGGGGTCTGGGATTTCCACTATTGAAGGGCTAGGGAGGAATGGCGGTGGGGCTAGATATCTCTATCGGCGAAGGGTTTCGAGATGCAGTGATCCTCGAACCCCTTCCAATCTACACCCCATCCCAAGGGATAAGGGTAGGGAGAGCAAGGATTACCCACCTCCGTCACTGGTGCTGTGCAATGCCAGGTCCATAGGCAACAAAACCGCCACCATGTGTGACTTTTTTGTCTCGCAGGGGATTGACCTGGCTTGCGTGACGGAGACCTGGGTATGGGAAGGCGAAGTAGTCTCCCTACATGAGATAACACCCCCAGGTTTCTCTGTCCTCCATCAATCGCGGACTGTGGGTTGGGGGGGAGGAGTAGCGTTGTTAATCTGGGAGGATTGCTCTTTCAGAGCTCTGCCATCACCGGCGATCTCCGGCATTGAATGTGTTGGTCTTGTGTGGGGCACCAAGGAGAGATTGACTGTCTGGCTGGTGTACCGACCACCCAGCACACCGGCAGCCACCCTATCAGACCTGCTAGAGATGGTGGCGGGCTGGGCCTTGGAGTTCCCAAACCTACTGGTTTTGGGAGACTTCAACGTCCATGCCGATGCTGCTCCCTCCTCACAGGCTCTGGACCTAGTGACTTCCATGGCAACACTAGGGCTCTCCCAGTTTGTTTTGGGCCCCACTCATCAAGCTGGCCACACGCTGGATCTGATCTTTGGGGCTGGCATAGATGTGATCATGCTCCCCCCTGTGGAAGTGCCATGGTCTGATCACTACGCTCTGAAAGCCAAGATTGACTTTCCGCTCCTCCCCTGCTCGGATGGCGAACCTACTTGGGCTCGTCCGCGAAAACAGATGGATCCTGATAGATTCCAACAAGCCTTGCGGGACCCTGCTCCTCCTGGCGACTCATTAGATGACCTTGTTGAGGACTGGAATAACCGGCTCTTGGCAGCCATTGATGAGATCGCGCCTAAGCGCCCTCTGCGACCCCATTGAAACCGGGCCCCTTGGTTTACTGAGGAGCTCTGGAAAATGAAGCGGGATCTCAGACGGCTAGAGCGAGTATGGCGACGGACTTGTGACGGAACCTCAAGAACATCTTATAGGACGCTTATGAAAGCCTATGAGATGGCTATGAAAGCTGCTAAGAAATCTTACTTTGCAGCTTCCATTGCATCCGCTAGCTCTCGCCCGGCACAACTTTTTAGAATAATTAGGTCAATAACGTCCTTAGGAGGACAACCAAATTTAAGCACAAATTCGACCCACAGCTGTGAGGCATTCGCGAGCTTTTTTGCGGAGAAAGTCCTGTTGCTCCGCCGTGACCTCCCTGCCAATTTAGATACAGTGACTGAACTGGAGGCCCCTCGACTGACTTCAGGTCCAGTGCTGGACCATTTCGATTAGATACTCCCTGCTGATGTGGATAGATTCCTCCAAGTTGGTAGGCCCACCACCTGCCTCCTTGATCCGTGCCCATCTTGGCTGATTAGGGAGTGTCCAGATGTTGCGCGGACCCCCCTGGTTGAAATTATCAATTTGTCCCTTGACACGGGGACATTCCCAGGGGAACTGAAGGAAGCAGTAGTGTGTCCACTCTTAAAGAAAACTTCATTAGATCCCTTAGACCTGTCCAATTACCGTCCAGTTTCAAATCTTCCATATCTGGGTAAGGTAATTGAGAGAGCGGTTGCTGAACAGCTTGGTAGGTTTCTGGAGGAAACATCAGCTTTAGATCCATTTCAGTCCGGTTTCCGTCCTGGTTTTGGGACCGAGACAGCTCTGGTTGCCCTCACAGATGATCTCCGTAGACAACTGGATCGAGGCGGGTCAGGAATGCTGATCCGTTTAGATTTGTCAGCAGCCTTTGACATGGTCGATCATGATCTTCTGGACCACCGCCTTGCAGACGTGGGGATACAGGGCATAGCCCGTAACTGGCTGTGCTCTTTTATCTCTGGTCGGGGACAGAGGGTGGCACTAGGGAGGGAAATGTTGTCGCGCCATTCCTTGGTGTGTGGAGTGCCGCAGGGCGCAATTCTCTCCCCGATGCTTTTTAACATCTTTATGCGCCCCCTTGCCCAGATTATCCGGAGCTTTGGGCTGGGCTGTCACCAATATGCTGATGACACTCAGCTCTATCTGCTGATGGATGGCCACACCGACTCGGCCCCGAACACACTGACCAGATGCTTGGAAGCTGTGGCTGGATGGTTTCGTGGGAACTGATTGAAACTAAATCCTTCGAAGACAGAGGTCCTATGGCTGGGTCGGGATAGCATGGGGATGAGGGACCAACTCCCTTCTCTTGCGGGGGCCCAATTAGTGCCATTGCCTTCCGTTAAGAGTTTGGGTGTAATCCTTGACGCCTCCCTTTCCATGGAGGCGCAAGTTACAGCAACAGCCAAGGCGACATTTTTCCACCTTCGCCGCATCAAGCAGTTGGTCCCTTACCTTTCCCGTCCCGACCTGGCCATAGTGATCCATGCAACGGTCATCTCCAGGCTTGACTACTGTAATTCGCTCTACGCGGGGCTGCCCTTGAAGCTGACCCAGAAACTCCAGAGGGTGCAGAATGCTGCAGCGAGGCTCCTCACGGGGTCTCTGCCACGGGAGCATATTCACCCAGTGCTTTTCAAACTGCACTGGCTCCCGGTAGAGTACAGGGTCAGATTTAAGGTGCTGCTTTTGACCTTTAAAGCCCTTCACGGCCTAGGACCCTCGTACCTACGGGACCGCCTCTCCTGATATGCCCCACGGAGAGCCTCAAGGTCCATAAATAGCAACACCCTAGTGGTCCCGGGCCCTAAGGAAGTTAGATTGGCTTCAACCAGAGCCAGGGCCTTTTCAACTCTGGCTCCGGCCTGGTGGAACGCTCTGCCTCATGAGACCAGGGCCCTGCAGGATCTGATTTCTTTCCGCAGGGCCTGTAAGACAGAGTTGTTCCGCCTGGCCTTTGGCTTGGAGCCAATTTGATTCCCTCCTTCCCTTTCTTTCTTTTTTCCTTTCCTTCTCCTCCTGCGATTAGGCTACATTTTAATATTTTAATGTTTCCATATTTTAATGTTGTATTTTAATTTTGTTTTTAAGTTGTAATCATTCAATTTGTTTTTATTATTGCTTGTAAGCTGCTCTGAGCCTGGCCTTGGCTGGGGAGGGCGGGGTATAAATAAAAATTATTATTATTATTATTATTATTATTAATATACCACACCAGTTGAAAAAATGTAACTCAGTACTCTACTCTAAGAGTTGAAACAGAACACAGTCATCATGGTTAGTAGCCATTGATAGCCTACTCCTCTTCCACGAATTTGCCCAATTATCTTTTAAAGTTGATGGCTGTCACTCCTGTGACAGTGATTTCCATACTTTTAACTGTCTGCTATTTAACTTTCCTCCTGGAGAGGGTAGTTTTTAGTTATCCTCCACAGCAGCCAGACTAGATGAGATTTCTGCCGTACCTCTTGCATGTTCCATGCCTTGCCCATCATGGCTTCTGGGCTGGGGCATCATGTTGAACCTGGGTCTGTTTGGACCAGTCTCTGCTAACCGTGGCCAGTTTTGGGTGCCGTGTTGCCCTTTGCCAACCTGGTGCCCTCCAGATGCTTTGGAGTAGAAGTCCCATCATCCCCAGCCAACGTGGCTGTATAATTGTGGGTTCATGGGAGCATGGCGGTGCTGGGCTGCAGCTGATGGGATGTAGTCCAAAGCATTTCACAGGTAGCAAGTTGGCAATTTATTCAAAATGGGAGGCAGTAGTTTGGTATGCTCCAGGGTGCACTTGGAGGCCTAGAACCTCCCTCTTAGGGCCTTGTTGTAGACTTTGGTGTCGTCTTGAATGCTCCATGCTCTAGAAGTTCTGGTCTACCTTTCTGGACACACCTCTTTGCAGAAGGAGGCTGATTCTGGATATGAACCGGCAGCCATTGCAGCAGTTTTGAAATGGCCACTGTTTGTTGTACCAACTGAAGTTTAGAATATGTCTTGAAGGACAGACCCATCTAGACCCCATTGCAGTAATCCAATACGGAAGTTACCAGTATCCACTGAAGGCCTTCCTTTTCCAACAAGACTTTTAAGTGGAGATCTTTTGAAAATCCTAGTGTGTATCTACATTGACTTAGAAATTTGTATTTACTGGCACTTTTCGTTTAAATCTATTTGGGATGTTTTACGTAAAGAAATTCATAACATAAATGAAAGGACCCCCAGTTTTCCTTTTGTGCCTCTGAGATGCCCGTATGCCAGAGAGAAAGGAGCATAGGAGCTGTCCAGTGCATGGCAGAGTTAGGCAGTGGGCAAGCTTTATGTGACTCAGGACCCTCCACCAATGTGGGCTTATCCCTATCCCTCATTGGGCTTCCTTTTCCAGGCAAACCTCTGGTTTGATACTGATACATGGAATTTGGAAGCAAGAAAGATTTTCATGCAGGAGCATCCAAAAGGATATTTTTTCTTTGGCACCCGGTTGGTGCACCTGGATATCCTGAGCCCTTTTTGTTTTCTAGCATCTGGTGAGTGGAGACAAAGTCTTGAGTTACATGAGTGGCCGGTGTGAGGTTTCTGATGGGAAGCCAGTTCAAAGGTAGATAAGCTGATGGGTTATTTTTCTCTCTCTTTTTTTTGAAGAGCAATGCAGTTTCCCCTCTTCTATTTTTCCCCTGCCAGCAAGGGCCAATTTATTCTTTTAAAGTCCCTTCTTATTTTAATTTTTGAAGCATTTATCTATTTGTTTTGGGTCAGAAGCTTCAGATACCAGGCGCTGTTGACTTGAGTGTGACTCTTTTCAACTCCAGTCCAGCTGGCTGAGACGCGGGACGGAAAGGAAGCTTCAGCAGAGGGACTGCCCCCTTTTCTTTTCTTCCTTTTTTGCAGCCTAAATCAGTGAAGGTTTCAGCTACGTGCCTGTTGATGTACCCTAAGGGGCCCAGGCCTCTCCAGTTTTATAGCAGAGTGAGCAAATAACATTCATGCTTGAGGATAAATGTTGTTTGACATTTCTACCCTTTTGAGGAACTCCCTTGGGTCCACCTAGCTCACTATTGTCTATACTTGTGGTCCCCAATTTGTGGTCCATGGACCTTGGGGGACCCACATAACCCACTCAGGGTTTTGTGGCGCATACCTGTCAGCTGTCTGGGACATCCCATTTTGGGGTGCTGTGCTCTCGTGCGGGAGCACTGCCTGGAAGACGCATGTCTCAGTCTAGCTCTGGGACATGTTGGGGGTGGGGTATGGTGGCACTGTTCCCATAACAAAACCTACAACAGACATATCAACATTTTCAAAAGCAGGGGGTCCCTGTCCTGGCTTTTGAAAAACAGAGGGTCTAGCTAATGGGGAACCACTGGTCTACACTGATTGTCAACAGCTTTCCAGGATTTCAGACAAAAATCTCTCTTGGTCCTACCTGGAGTTGCCATCAGGGCTTGAACTCGGGACTAGACAGCAGATACACAAAGCAGATGTTCTACGTTGAGCTGCAGCCTTTTCCCCTTTTCTGCAGAGAGCTCGCCACATCTTCCTTGTGCTTTCCAGAGGATCTGGGTTGTGTGTGTGCGTGCGCGCCTGGAATTGACTTGCTCAAACCTGCGCCCAGAGTGGCTGGGGCAACCCAGTCAGATGGGTGGCATAACAACAACAACAACTGGTTCCTGGGTATAGGTTGAGGGCACACAAGGCCACCCCCTTTGCCTGAAGCTAAGCAGGTCTGGGTCTAGTCAGTACTTGGAACCACATGTGCATAATGTATTTATCAATACAGTATTTAGAATCTCATCGTGTGTGCCACTTTGGGTTCCACGAGGGAGGGAGGGCAAGATACTGTCTCTTACAAGAGGCAGTGGTGTCTACCAACTTGCATGGCTTTTAAAGAGGTTTAGAGAAATTCACGGAGGAGAAGGCTATCAACGGCTACTCACCCCGATGGCTACGGTTTTACCTCCACCGTTGGAGGCAGTCATGTTTCTGAAAAACCAGTTGCTGGAAACTGCAGGCAGGGAGAGTGCTCTTGTTCCGAGGTCCCTCTTGTGGGCTTCCCACTGGAGCATCTGGTTGGTCACTGTAAGAAGTGGATGCTGGGCTAGATGGGCCACACTGCCTTCTTGTTATGCTCTTAAAGGTAAAGGGACCCCTGACCATTAGGTCCAGTCGTGACCGACTCTGGGGTTGCGGTGCTCATCTTGCTCTATGGGCCGAGGGAGCTGGCGTACAGCTTCCGGGTCATGTGGCCAGCATGACTAAGCCACTTCTGGCGAACCAAAGCAGCTCACGGAAACGCCGTTTACCTTCCCGCCGGAGCGGTACCTATTTATCTACTTGCACTTTGATGTGCTTTCAAACTGCTAGGTTGGCAGGAGCAGGGACCAAGCAACAGGAGCTCACCCCGTCGTGGGGATTCGAACCGCCGAACTTCTGATCGGCAAGCCCTAGGCTCTGTGGTTTAACCCACAGTGCCACCCGCGTCCCAAGCGCCACCCGCGTCCCTCCCACAATAATTCTGCTGTACTTGGACGGATGGGTCTCCAATAACATGTCTCCTCCGAATCTTTTGTTTTCTGTGCAGTTGTGACTTTTTGGGTGGCTACTAGTCATGATGGCTATGTACTGTACTCCCTGCGCCGGAGGTGGCTGAATACCAGCTGCTGGGAAATTGCTGCAAGGAGGGGGAGTTCTTTTACTTTCAGGCTTCATATAGGCAGCTGGCTCTTCACGGTGGGAATCGGATGCTCAACTAGGTGGACCTTTGTTCCAATCCAGCAGAGTTCTTATGCTCTTATGCTTGCGGCCTGCAGCTTTTTCTATGGGTGGTGTAAGGCTAGATTGACTTCCTCCAGCCTGCTTTGTTCCACTCCATAACTTCCTGGCTTTTCCTATTTGAAGGGAAGACACGCTGGTGGTTTCTTCTATGAGAAGCAACCTATGATCGGATTAGGATTGCTTTAACAAAGCTTGGGGGATTTGGAATTGAAGCCAAGGCAGGAATTCAAAACATCTTGTAGAGCTGGGGAAAGGTTGTTCTGTTGTTTTAGGATTTCCTGACAATGAGCTATGTTCTTGGAGTGTACAGTGAACTTTGGAAGAAGTACCTGTTTGGATCTATTGGTTGTGAAAATTTGGCATCAAGAGATAATCTGTATGTATTGATCTTTGTTTTTGTTATTAATCCATGTGTGTTTAGGTCTTTATATTTATATATGTGTGTGTGCGCGTACAAACACAGACACACACACAGACACACAGACACACACACACACACACAGACACACACACACACACACACACACACACACACACGTACGTGTGCATACACACCAAATCTGAAAGCTGTTTACAATACAAAATCAAAACTCTAAAACATATATGAAAACAGAATATATCTGCACATATACAAAATGCTGGATTGCTGAGCAGTATGATCCAGAATGGACAGGGGGAGAAAGTGAAGTTCTCAGCAAGTATCTAAAAGATGCTGTGGTTGGTGTCTGCTGGATAACATGGAGAGCGGAATAAACATTTTAATACTTCCATGTTTTGGATTGCAGTCAAAATTTCAATAACCCAGTTTGTGCAATCTACTAGTCCCCATCGTACACCTCACTGCAACTGGGCGGTTGCAGTGGCGACTGGCTTCATCCTGATCTCTGGTATTGCATTTGGTGTGTATTTGGTTTTCTTTTAAAAAAATCTGGATTCTGTCAGTTATTCTGGTTGAATTCTTGTGCCTGTGAGATTGTTATTATTATGTATTTCTTTATACCTGAACTTTTTCCTGATGGGACTCAAGGCGGCTTGCATATAAAAAAATGAGAACTGCTAAAAACAGAAAAAACAATCATTTAAAAAAATTAAACTATATACATGTATAAAATCTGTTAAAACTATACAAATAAGTATAATAAAAACAACATGGCACCAGCCCTTTCATTAAAAGCAGTCTGTTCCCAAAAGCCTGTTGGAACAAAAAAGTCTTTACCTGCTGACAGATGGACAAGGTGGAAGTTCCAAAGTCTGGGAGAAGCCACCAAGATTCTGATTTAGTCCTCCTAGTCTGATGTTGAGTTGAGAACAGACATCGGCCTTGTCTTGCTCATGAGGAGGACCCCTCCCTCCCCGTTGTACTGTGGATTTAAAGTGATACCATCAATTCTGTGAATTTAAAGTGATACCTATTATCTGATTTTACGTCTTTGAAAGTCAGTTGCTCAGGCTTTCATGCTCACATCCATCTGGACCCAGGTTAGTGGCACTGAAATCAGAAGAATAACATACAATTTGCATTATGAGCCTTTTCCAGATAATGTAAACATAGACATCGAATCAACATCCTAGGTACCATAGCTGGTGTCATATAGTGGACGAAAGTGTGATCTGTGGTTCAAGAGATCTCCAGTTCAATCTTGCCTTAGCCATGAACTCACTTGCAATCTACTGCTTTCTCAGTCACCTACCCTGCTCCAATATGTGATAACTAGCTTCATCTGGATCCAACATATGGGGTTGCATCCAACTAAGTTCTCGTTAGAGGAGACCCACTGAAATTAATGAACCTATTTATGTTAGTCATGCCCATCAATTTCAGTAGATCTGCTCCATGGAGAACGTAGCTGAATGCAACCCTTAGGCCAAGATCCAATGTTGGGTCTAATTAGAAGAGACCCTTGGAAGAAGAAAAATGGACAAAACAAGCTGAGGTCCAATAATTTCAACAAGTCTACTCTGAGAAGGCTGGATACAACTCTTAATATTTAGGCAGTGCCTTTTGACTAGCTGACATCCATCATTTATATTAACTCTGTAATCCTTCCAACAGTCTTGTAAAATTAACCTGTATTGCAGTTAAGTCTCACTGAAATTAGTGGGGCAGATCAGTCATGACATAAGAGCGTTTCAGTGAGATTGAAGTGCAACTTATTTCATCTAGATCAGTTGTTCCAAAACTTTTTTGGGGCTACCGTCCTCTTCGTCCCGTAAACTCACTCCCAGTGCCCCCTACCCTATAAAATGCATTATTCAGAATAGCGGTTTGCATGACCCACTAAAGAAGGTAATAACATAAAAAAATTCAAAACAATAACAATTAGTTGCACACTTACTCAAAATCCAGTTAAAACTACTTAGTTCTATTCATTCAACAAAACTGATGAACTTGGTTCAGTGAGAACAGCTTTTCAAAGTCTGATAGGAATTTACACCTTCAGCCCCCCCACTACCCCCTCGGGTTACCCCTCCCCCGATGGTGGTACTGCCCATTTTAGGAACCATTAAATTTAGATCTAGTCCATGGAGTTGGTTTAAAAGCTTTCAGTGACAACAAAAACATATTCTTGTGCATTTTGGGGGCAAAAAGTGTTATGTGTTAGAGCCGTTTTTCATTTGGCGTGCTGCAGAAAGCAACTTTTCATCACAAACAACAACATAATAGCCCTTTGGCAATAAGCTTCAGAAATGCCTTTGTTTATCACGGTCCAGTCTATGGCCTTTGCCATTCCTCCTGTCCTCCCCTCCTCCTAATGGAAAAAAGAATAATTTCTAGAAACTTAAACCAAAAGTTAAAGGATCTCAGGGGGGTCATCCTTCCTGTAGGAAGCAGATTTTGGCACCTCTTGCTGATATTGTGGTGGTGGTGGTGGTTCTCGGGGAGAGACGGCCGGGCGTATCAGTTTCAAAGAATGCCGTGTGCGGCTGATATGACATATTAATGAAACGAAGATTAATACCATGTGACACTGCTGCTGCTTAGCTGTACAAGCAGGGGCTAACGAAGCTAATTGAAAACATACTCCTGGTTCACAAAATTATAACTTAGTGACGGCTTATGTCAGAAAGGAATAATTTTCATCCCATCTTGAGCTGCCTCTGGAGTGATCTTGGCCCCCTGGCCCTAATCCTGTAAAAGATCAAACACACATCCTAGGCTGGTTAGTGCAATTTCGGAAAGAGGCAAGCAGGAGCAAAGACTAGCATTTCAGCACTCCCACCCCCCCAATAATTAAAATTAGACTTCACTAGTTTGATGCTATAGAAATGTGCCCTGAAAGTATAGACCCCCCCCAAAAAAAAATTTCTGTTGGGTAATATAGAACACCAGGTTTCTTCAGAATTACTTCAGGGCTTCATCTCATGCTAGTCTAACAGATAACAGACCCATTGAAATTGATGGGCATGACTAACACAGGTTCATTAATTTCGGTGGAACTACTCTGATTAATTCTTAGTTGGATATAACCCAAATAACCTTGGAAGAGGAAAACCTGGGATATAATTATTTCTAAGATACATTTGGCTGCTGTGGTGTAGTGCTTAAAAGTGAGATACCAAGGTCCAAATCCCACTGCCATGAAGCTCACTGGATGACTTTGGGCCAGTCCCTCTTTTTCAGTATAACCTACCTCACAGGGTTGTTCTGAGGGGACTGTGGATCTTCTTGGGCTCCTAGGAAGGGAGGTGGGATATAAATGTAGTATTCAGTGCTTTTTTGGTTTTAAAAGAATGTCCCAGTATTTATATATTGAGCATAGAGCTGTCAGGACCAGCACAAAATGGCTGCCATGGTCAGCAAAATTAAGATGTGTTGGCACTCTGTACTGGTGAATACTGTCACACATACAAAAAGCCATGGTGGTGACAATGATGATAATAATTATAATACGTACTAAATAATAGCAATAGCAGCTCAGGCCACTTGTGGCAATGGCGCTATTTTGGTCCATTGAATTTCTGCTTCTTCAAAACAATGAAGTTGCAATAATGTGACTACTCAGATCTGACTGAATAATAGTAATATTAATAATAATTGATGATATAATACAGCACAAGGCTGCCTTCATGCAATAAGCTCTCTGTCTGTCAGCTGAGAGGCGGGTCCTTCCTAGGGGAAAGTTTCCCACATTGTCACCAGGGTGCCTCCATTGTAACAATACTGGGGCTGTCAGCAAGGAGTGTCGGCTTTCTCTGCAATGTCCCTGGAAGTCTTTCCTCTCAGTATCTCTTCAGTTTTGTTGTCATTACTTATTAAGTCTCTCGGTATGGGCTTCCTGGAGGTGTCTGGTTTTTGACTTTAGGATGGTGGATGAGTGTTATGTACTGAGTTACTGTCCCTTGGCCTGATCCAGCTAGGCCTATTTTTAAAGTTTTATTTTAAGTACCGGTATGTATCTGTTTGCGGGTGAACCCCAGCAAGAGATTTACACAGAAGGATATACCTCAATAGAAATTTTACAGTAAAAACGGAAAAGAGAAGTGACTAAAGTGGAAATAAAGGAAATTTGAAAGCATCCCTATTTACCCAGGCAGATGAATACTGTTCCTGGCAAGTCTGAGATCACTGGATAGAACGATGTTTTTAACTGTAACTGATTTTAGATGTGCTTCATTATAATTGTTTTAGAATGTTTCATCTGTTTTGTTTTTTCTCTTTGTTTTTATTTTTAAATTGTGGATCTGTTTGCCTCCCTTGGCCCCGTGGGGAGGAAGGGTGGGGTTAATAACAATAATAACAATAATAACAATAATAACAATAGTTATTACTACTACTACTCTTTGGGGACCTTGAACTTAGGTTGCAATGCTGTTAATTCAAGGGCTGAAACAAGTTGAAAAAGTTGTTGAAAGAGAAGAAGGGATTTCTAACTGTCTTGAGCAACTGTGTGAAATAGCTGCAAGGTTGTTACCTCCAATGCAGCCTTCTCCAATAGATGTTCCCAGATGTTTTGTACTGCAATTCCCATCAGCACGGCCATTTTGGACTCTCATCTCCCATTAGTCCCAGATAGCCTGGCTGTTTTGAACTACCACCCTGGCCAGCAGTCCAAAATATCTGGAGGGCATCTGGTTGGGGAAGTCCAGTCCAGTGGTTGGAACTCACAGTTCCCTAGAGACACACAATGACCCCTGAACAAACCAAGATAACCAGCAAAGGAATTTGGTAGGAATGCTTGTTCTTTAGTATAAATGGGTTGTTATTTTGGGACACAGCAAACACAAGTTGTTGTTGTTGTTTTTTAAAAAAAAGGAGGCAGGGAAAACTTTTATTTTAGTGCAAATGTTCCCCTTGTTTTTGAACGTGGATATTTGTAATTATAGGGCAGTTCTTTAAAAGATTGGGGACCACAATAAAGTAGATCCAGAAACCAGACAAGTGCTTTCGTTTACTACCCTTGTAAACGCATTTCCTTCCCCCTCTCCCCACCACCATGACCACTGTGGAACGCCAACAGCTTAGCAGCAACTCAAACCAGCTGCCCAAGATGTTACTTAACCCTCCGAAGGGGCTTTCAACTTAATAGTGTGTCAGAAATTGATGGTGAACTTGGACGGTGCCTTGGTACAGCTTCACTTCTGATTAAATGGAACTGCTTCCAGCAGCCCTCCATGGGGTTTTAAAGCACACCGCTCCAGTTTTTATTTAATGTATTGTTTTGCTTGTTTATCTCTTTTTGTGGGAAGTCTCCAGTGGCACTGCCTTGAGTTCTTGAATGGCAGAGTGTCGCAGGGACTGATTTTGGGTGGATGGGCACTATGTTTTGGGAGAAGGGGATCGTGTATGAGATTAAGGGGAGGGCTGATGTTGATATCATGGTAAGTGGAATTTGAAATTACAAGATAGTCAAGAGCTCAGAAACATGACTGGCAGTGGCTCTGTAGGTTTTAGACAGCGGTCTTGGGAGAGGCTGAAGATTGAACTTGGGCCTGGTCTGGAGGCTCTAGTTTGCGCAAAAAGCTGTTGCTCGACTGTTGATTGGGACAGACGATTGCCATCACATAACTTCACTGCTCAAAATTCTGTACTGGCTGCCCTTAAGCTACTGGGCCAGGTTCAAGGCTTGCATATTCATATACAAAGCCCTTAAACAATTTGGGTCCAGGCTACCTCAAGAAGTGCCTAATCCCCTTTATCCCTGCCTGATCATCATCTTTGCGGGGGTCACTGTTAGTAGCCCCTCATGGCTCAGATGCATGATCTCTAGGGGTTGTGCTGTGTTCTGTATTGTGGGCCCAGTTTTATGAAACTCCCTTCCATTTGAGGTCAGACAGAACCCCTCCACCTGGTGCCTATTGTAGACTTTTCCTATTTCAGCAGGCATTTTAATGGATGTTTGATTCCACAGTTTTAACTTGTGTTTATCTTTCGTATTACATTTTTGAAAACCACTTAAGAGACTATTGTGGCTAAGCAGTATGAGCATGGTTTAAATAATAACAACCTGGGACCTGTAAATCATGTGTTCTACCGGTGAGCTACAGTCCTCCCTTTCAAAAATCAAACAATTTGTTACGTGGAAGGTATTAGCACATAGGCAGCTATGAGAGAATTGTCCCATCTAACTCAGGGTTCCCAAACTTTTTTTCTCTCTGGGTCACACTTTCAGAATGAAGATTTGCTCAGGCCATGCCAAACTTTTTATTGATAAGAAATACATTGGAAGATGTAAAGAAACAACTCTTAACAGTGCTTGATTTATAACATAGAACACAACTACTTTATAATATGATCATTGTCCTTGAATCTTCCTGCCACACTTGCCATCCTCTCCTTCCACACCCTTTGAGAACCACTGATCTAACTCAACATTGCTTGCACTGAGTGGCACTGACTCACCAGGTTTTCAGGCTGCGAGTCTCTCCCATCCCCACCTGGAGGTGCCGAGATTTGAACCTGGGACCTTCTATATGCAAAGCAGATGCTCTACCACTGAGCTATGGCCCCTTCTCCACAGGCATGTGCCAAAGGGCTTCCTGGGGGTGGGGGGTGGGGAGCTGGTTTGCTGTTTGCCCCCTGTTGAGTGCCTTGTTTTCATTTGTTTATTGATCTTTTAAAAGAAAGTGTATTTCATCTTTCTGCTCAAAGCCTTCAGATAGCTTTGCAGTATTAACAAATCATTGAAAATGCTGTAGAGGCCTTAGAAGAACATTAAAGCATTAACAAATGGAGTGTGTGTGTTTGTGTTTTTGAAAGACAAACAAAATGTCTATGATATGGAATCGCTTCTTAGCTTGCCACTTAAAAATGTTGAAAGTGGCCTGTGAATATTTTGTTCATTTGTTTAGACAATTTATATACTACTTACATACTTATTTACCAGAATAGCTAAGCTAAGCAGTTTGCAACATATCTTAAAACATCATAAAGATTAAAGACAATAAATACTAGGAAAAATCCGTATTCTAGAGCAACGCAATTAACAACCAAACAGATCCTATCATCATCGGTTTTTTTCTTACCTTGCATTGTAACATTTCCCCTCCCGTTTCTTTTGCAGGTATTCCTTTGGTAAGTGAACATAACTCAGAAAATCCTCAGTAGTTGTATTTTCGTGCACTTTCGGGGTATGTAATACTTTAAAATTTCTCTATTGCTATTCTTCCTCCCCCACTTTTTTTTTAAAGGGAAATAGTTATAACCTTTTAGGACTTATGGACACATTTGCAAACCAGATAAACTGTTCTGGGCAGGCTCATCCCCTCACCCTACTCTGTTGTTGTTATTTATTTATTGCATTTATATCCCACCTTTTCCTCCCAGGAGTTCAAAGTTTTCCCCCTCCTCATTTAATCCCCACAACAACCCTGTGAGGTAGTTTAGGCTGAGAGGCAGTGACTGGCTCAAGGTCACCCAGTGAACTTCATAGTTGAGTGTTCTCCATGGTCTTAGCCTAACGCTCTAACCCATGGGTAGGCAAACTAAGGCCTGGGTGCTGGATCTGGCCCAAATGCCTTCTAAATCCAGCCTGCGGACGGTCCGGGAATCGGCATGTTTTTACATGAGTAGAATGTGTGCTTTTATTTAAAATGCATCTCTGGGTTATTTGTGGGGCATAGGAATTAATTCATTCCCCCCAAAAAAATATAGTCCGCCCCCTCTAAGGTCTGAGAGACAGTGGACCCGCCCCCAGCTGAAAAAGTTTGCTGACCCCTGCGTCTAACCACTGCTCCACATTGAGCTATAATAAATTGCTTCTTTTAAGCTTAATTTCAGCAAAGGGGTGGGAGCCCTGTGGGGGTCAGGGAAGGCCTCTGTGGGCCCGTGAGACCCGTGAGTGCCACTTTGGCGACCCCTTTCTTAAAGGCGCCTGGGGGTGGGGTTCCACCTCAAGCAGTTCATGGCTTACGGATGCATTCCAGAGCAGGTTCAAAGGTTCGTTGTCTTTTCTTCTTCTCTAGCAGGAGCTAGAACTGGCTAGGAAAGTGTCCCACCTTGGAAGGTTCACTGGAGATGCTGCCTGTTGCCTTGGCTCAGAATTGGGGCTGCATTCGATCCAAGCTGGCTTTGTGGTGAACCCGAGCAAAGTCTTATTCTGTTCTTATCGCTTGAATTTTACACTTCTTATAGGTTATGCCAGTTTCACACCTATCTATAAGAAGCATGGTGTGCTTCCCCACTCCAGGAGTTTAGTGTAGGATCACCACAATTTTTTCACTCATTCTTTCCAGGGCATCCATTCATTGTTATCTACATTTGTAGACTGCATAGACTACATTTGTAGACTGCAGATTTGTGTCGACCTGATCTCAGGGCGGTTTCCGTCAATGCACAAAAATACAGGGAGCAAAAATAAAGACAACTATTAAGACAGTCCAATTAATGAACAGTAATAGAGCAACAGCATGAAGCCAAACAATTGGTGAAAAAACCCAGGAGAATGAAACTGGTTTTACCTGCTTGTGGAGGCCCATCAGGGCCTCTGCCATCCAGGCTTTCAGGGGAAGGGGATTCTGGAGCTGGGACTCCACAACACAGAAGACCCTCTCATGCATCACCATATGGTGGGCCGAACCTTGATGCCTATCACACAGCCCAGGTTTTGCTTGGTTTCCAGAGGAGCCATATGAATTGGTCAGAACTTGCACTGGTAGGTGAATTTGTAAGAAGGCATTTGAGTCCCAAAGCCACAGGACTTTAAATATCATATAGTAACCTTTGTGGTGGATGCTTCTTTGATGAGCTTTTGGTTTCAGCTTTATCCCAGTGGCATGCCAGGTGTGCCCGGTGCCTCCTAGTAACTTTTTTGGGGGATGTTGTAGGAGATTGCCACCACCACCCATCTCTGCTCACCCACCACTCCCGATTTCTGGCTTATGTAAAAACATGAGGAGATACAGCTTCTTCTTCAACTGGGTCAAGTCTTTGAGTCCTGGTTAATCAAACCCTTTGTACACAGCAGGCTCCTGCTCCATTCCTTCTGTTTTTGGATGAGATGCTTCTGAGTTGGGATTAATGAAATAGAAATGCCTCAAGCCTCCCCCCGCGGTTCTTTATTTTTTTGGCGAGGAATGCAGGAAACCCACAATATATTTTTGTTATAATAGAACTGTGGAACAGTGACATTTTGTCGTCTGTCTGTTGTTGTCAAAAGGCATTTAAATATTGCTGAGCTTTTTTTTTTTTTTGGGGTGGGGGGAATCCCACTTTAGTGCTGGGTAGTGTTTACTTCAAAGGACAGTCTTAACAGTTCCTGCTGGGATCCTTTGTACCCGCTGGGTGCTTCCTGTTCCCTTGCAGGAAGCATGGTGCTTGCTTGCTTTTTTATTTTTTTTAAAGCATATTTTGAGATTGGCTCGTATTTCAAACAAAAATCATCTTTATTAATAGTGGGCTATAGTGAATGAAACCACTACTTGTGCAATGGAACTTCTCTTCTCTCCCTGCCTCCCCCAATTTGCTCCAGAGGGTTGGGAAAACCTCAGATCAGATTTTGTTGGGCTGGGGGCGCAGTAGGAGCAGGGAAGGTGAAGTTCTGTTGCACAGGCAGAAGTTATTTCTCAAGTGCAATGCCTTAAATTCACCTTGTCATGAGGCCTATATGGAACACTTGCATTCAGCAGCAGTCTACCCCCGAATGGGGTGTCTGTGTTCTGCGGCAGACTGCCTCTGTAGGGAGTGTAGCAAGAGAGTTTCTTTTGCATTCTTGCCCTGCTAATGGGCTTCCTGTGGGTATCAGGTTGGCCGCTGGGCTAGAGGGATCTTTTATTCTGATCCGGCAGGGCTGCTTTAATTATTTTTCATTTTTCATTTCTGCATACAAACCCTTTACTTTAGCAGAGATCCACCTCTGAATAACCGACGACGTTCTTGGCCTTGTTCTTGAGCTGTTTTGCTAAGACGACAACCAGGGTGGTGTCTCTGGACCAGGTGTGGCAAGGTTTAATGCTGTCGGGAGTGCCCCCTGGGTGCAATGGCCTCCGTTGCCCTCGGGGTTGGAATTTCTCTGCTGCGATGTCACTGCCACAAAGCTGAGCCCTAACCGTGTTTGTCATGCTCTGCTGCCCTTGACGGTCTCCCATGGCCTGGCTTCCTCCTTGATCCCCCTATTCCTTGGGGAGAGAGGGAGGGAGAGAGACCTTCCCTGGTCCCAGAGGTGGAGCTTAACAAGAAGCACCTGTTTCAAAGGCCTGGGACACTTCTACCACAGCTGTTCGCAGTGTTCAGCCATTTCCTGGCCAGCTGGGTCATGAGAATGTTCTCACCACCTAGAGATCTGTTGCTGGGCTTGGGGTGAATCCACCCCCCGGGAAATGTCCTTTAATTTGGCCCTCAGCTACAGATGGCGGACCCTTTTTCCAACGTTGAAATGCAACCCAAAGTAAGGACTAGTTTGCTCCTGTTACTATGGCGACTATTAATAATAATAAAGTTACACATTGCCTTTTACTTATTACAGTTAATTTATTAATCGCCTTCTAAACCACTATCTCAAGGCGATTAACACATAAGATAATTAAGAACAGCTAAAAGCACAAAATACATTTAAAACAAGACTAAAATCCTATCAAATGGACACTTGTGGTAAATATCCATTTATCCAGCTGGAAAAGCCTGTCTCAGTGTGATGTACAGACTTACCATTAAGAACCACTAATATAGTTTTAAAAAACAGTACAAAGAACAACTGAGAATAGGGTTAAATGCAATGAAAAAGGGAACTGAGGCAGAGACCTTTTTTTCTAGCTTTGAAAGTTTGTTGAAATAGAAATGTTTTCAGTTGCTTCTGGGAAGTACATATTATTGTTGTTGTTGTTGTTGTTATTATTGTAGTATCTTAATAGGGGTGTTGTTTCCAATAAACAGGGGCAGCTACACTTAAGGCCCTGCTCAGAGTTACTGTGGAGCCGGTTTCTGAAATTTTGGGGACTTGAAGGAAAAACTCCAGCAGAAAGCAGTGACTTACTGAGTATATAAGAAAGAAGGTGTTCTCTTAAGCAACCTGACCCTAAGATGTACAGGGCCAGTAACAGATTGGCAACCAGGGCAAAACCCACAACAAGTTCTGTGCTGTTGGTAGTTTGACCCCACAATAAATTTTATGCTGTGTCAACAATGCACTTGGCAGTTTACAGGAAAAAAATCCTTCACCAACCTGCTACCTTCCAGATATTTTGGACTACAACTCCCATCAGCCTCAGCCCCTACCTAAAACACCTGGAGGGCAAAGTGTTAGCAATCTCTATAATAAGCTCTCTCTCTCTCCCCCCCCCCCACGCTTGTTCAGCCCTGAATAAAATATAATATAAAATCTAGATGGAGTGAGGGGAGACACAAACAGGAAGAAGCAAGGCGCCCACTATCTCTGATTTCCCTGGGGGTGGAAGGAAGACATTTTTGATTCAACAATCTTTTCCAGTTGGATTAAAAGGTCTCTTAGCAGTTCGTTTTGTATTGCTTTTAAACCTATCATCAGTTGCTTCTGGTACTGCTTTTAAAACTATCTTAGCTGT